CTCAAAAAACAATAATAGATATGTCTAAAAACAGATCGTATGAAACTTGGTAACCCACAGTTTATTTCGCATATTCAACAGCCCACTATTTGCAAAATGTTTTCGTTATCTAGTGACATTGGCATTCCATTCGAGTACTGTCAGCATTTCGCGTTGTGTATGAAATGACTGGGCTATATGTTGAAGTTGGCGAATTACGAGGAACTGCAACCGGCCGTGTGAAACACATCCCAGCCAATACATAATTCAGTGGTTCTCGGTTCTCGTCTTTATATACAAACAATAATAACCACCGATGGATGGATGTGCGATGCGTGAGCTCCGGCGCGATCATCATTGCCACAGCGGCGCTAAGGCACAAACAGACATACAGACGCTTTTCCCTACCGCATTGTTGCGCGTATCGCAGTTCTGGAAAGCAGTCCGCTCCAATCAGATATGGAAGCAAGTCTTATGGCGGCAGTACACTTTCCCGCGAGTGTTCTCGTCAGGCCTCGCCGAGGAACTCGCGCGAGAGATCGCACCACCAGTGCGTCCCTGAACGCACTCGCAAACCCAACGATTTGGCATAGACTAGAAGATGTTGACCATGAAACTGTAGTTTTGGTACAACAACTGTCAAACTGGCAGCTTAAGCCCTGATGGACTACCAAACTCCATCGCCCCTGATATCTCAGCCCTTACACGGGGCAAAATCCCAGAAAGTGGAACGCTGTTTCGTCCTCATTCCAGCACATGGGGCGGGCAGCTTGGATCAATAGTACATGCCTAAACTAAGGGTGACCTTGTCCTCGGGGATACCACTGGTTTTATTGGAAAGGGATCCGTCAGTGAAGCACACGAGACTCTCCACTCACCCACTCTTCATTCGAGGGGATGATGTGCGAGAAATCTAACTTTGATCTTACATGAAGTATAAACTTACAAAATTACGCAATATTTCGGAGAGTTTCACCAGCAAATTGACAATCCATTAGCTCTATTCATTCATTTTGGATAAGTTTCAAATAGTTATAAGGACATGAGTAGATTGTAATACTATGCCCCCAGCAAAGATGGTAACTAGTATGTATATCAAGATTAGTTTGACATTTAGCAGTGGAAAGTATATCTCATACTTCCCTCGTAGACCGATTCATGCAAAACATCTAATTGACTGACCGACTGTATCAAAGTCTGAGTCATTTTTTTTATTGGGCGTCTCTAAAAATACGTTTTGACCAGACAGGACATCCATCGTGACGAATGTGATGAGAGACCGTGAGAGAGTTCCTGACCGCGAATATTTTTTGCCGCTATTTCGGGATGGTCATCTTATAAAGGCTCTCATTCAACGGCTCTAATTTGGGGTTGGGCATGGGTTGAATTCATAACTGGTTGGTTCAATAATGAATAGGTTGCCAAGTTCAATGTGGATTGGTTAAATGCAACCAGAAATAATTCGCAGAAATTAATTAGTTTACTTGTGGGAAGAACCGTTTTATTTCTGAGAAGTAGATTTGATTTATAATTAGACATACTTAACACCTTTTTAGAATGCCCAAAGTTGTATTACAGCGCATAAGATTCAGTGTCAGAACTAGTTTGTATTGCGTTCCCAACACATCGAATCTTTAGGCAATTCTCGTTGATATGTACCGTTCCTGTAGTAGATACAGAGTAAGTCTTAATTGGACGAATTACAGCAGCATTTGAAATCACTCAAAACGAGTATCAAATTTTTTGTCAAGTCCGCCGAAATGATGTGCGAAGTTTAAATCGGTATATTCAGGTTGGAGGAAAACATTTTGAACAATTGTTGTGATGATATCATGTACAAAAGGCAAAAATTAAATGCATTCTGTTTACGCAATTCATCGCCTTTCTAAATTTTACGGCCGTAGTGCCGTGGTGACACTTTTCCGGATATGGGTCCCTATACTTAAATGTTTTCTACTGTTACACTGAATAACCCTTACATGTTTGATCCCACAGTTCTGAATCACCCTGTATAGAAAAAGATCTCATTAGCAGGTTTTCCGATATACCTACCTAAATTGAACGAAACCCTACCGTAGCTAAAGTCATAGATACCTATGGGAAACTACTAGTAGATAAACAATATCTTCCTGAAAGGAAATCCTTCCTACACTTTCAAATCCGTTCACACAGTGCAGGTAGGAAACACAAATGGTATGAAATTTCACCACCACCAACGTGGGCATTCACCCGTGTGGAAATCACAACCAATTTAAACAGGGAGGAGGGGGTCATATTGAAGGGACTCCCACTTATCGATTGCTCATCCCTTTTTTATTAAAAGCTATTTCAGTCTTCTCCCGTGGGTGTTTCTCGCAACGAGAAAAAATTGGAATCAAGTGCGAATGTAACATTACGACTAAATTGGATTTTTTGTTGGCGGGATGAGTGGAATTGCTACAGCAATTTGGAAAGGATAGCTAAGGTTTTTATTAGAAAATACGGCTTAGGTTTCGAACACAAAAACTGAAAAAACCAGAATGTAAACCTATTTCGCTGTGAAATAATTTAACGTTATACCATGAGTAAGACAAAAATCAACTGATAAAATTCCGAATTTCTCGCTTAAACCAAAAGTGTCCCGGATCCCACAGTTCTTGTTCTTTTCAGGTGAAAATTTCATAAAATGATATACGTTTTTAGATGTTACATGGCAAAAAAACATGTTACTCATTTCTGTCGGTCTAGCTGTCTGTCCGATAATCCTTAAGGCGTCTATAACTTGGAAATTACCGCTCCCATTTCGATGAAACTTTGACAAAAGAGTAGTTACTACTGTGCCAGGGACGAAAAAGCTTTGTAATTTTTGAAAGTCGATCCAAAGACAGCAAAGCTACAGGAAAATGACATTTCAGAATGTCCTCAACATTTCCAGAAAAGATTGTTGGGGTTAAATACTGGGGGTTGGGCGAGGGAATATCGCACGCAATTTTTTTGTTTGTATATTAATACACTTCCCACCCCGGTAATTCGACGCACTTATTAGGCATAATCCATGCATCATAGACCTCCCGTATATTTGCCCTTAAAACTTGGAGAGATGTTTTTGTTTTCTAAAATCATCTTAAACCCAACGCTATACAAAGAATAAATCACACCAATTCTTTAGTGACATTACGGCATTGTGTAGCGTGACAGCAGTCTCGGAGAAGTTTATTGTTATCGTTGAAGACAACTGTATACGTATGTACCCGTACACATTGTGGAAAATTGAAGAACAATGGCGAAGAATTGTTGCGGTGGTAATTTTTTTCACAGTCCGCCGAGTTTCCGGAACAGTTTCCTGTTACTCGTAATGAGCTGATGGCTTTAGAAACTGATGGTTTCCAAGGAAGGATGCCCACGTCCGCTTCTTCATCCATTCATTCATTATCTCTCGTAAATTGGGCACAACAAGTGGGGTTAATTACCATTCATGATGTATAACAAATTTAAAGACAGATTTTAATGAAAAGGAAGAGAAAATCATATCCATCCGCCTAGTGTCATCGAGGAAAGGCCACCCATCCTTTTGCGGCGAACGGTAGCAGTTGTAGTAAATGACAGCAATCATCTATAGAAGGAGGGGGGGGGGGGGGGCGCGCTTAAATCTATACAGTATGTTACCACGATCATTACGCGGGAGCGTCATCAGAAGGGTCAAACAACTATGCGAATGATTTGCCATACAATGTCAACAAAAACCGATAAAAGTTATCTCTGGCATTTCAAACGGTACTGGTACTTCAGCCTCCGTCAGGAGAACATCTTCGACATACTACCGGTCTTCCCACGTTTCGAGTGTGCCGTGAATTCCGGTATTGCTGTTCGCTTGTTCCCAACAAATTAACCAATCACGACCACCGCATTAAGCTCTGTGAGAAAACCTGGAAACACATGGTAGAGATGTAGATTAATTATTCACGTTAATAGAGGAAGTATCTCTGCCATGAGAGGTTCTTCTTAGAGTAAATATTTTATTTGAGCTTTATACAAAATCCTTGGCCAAACCTTTTTAGGTGTGTTTAAGTTTTTATAAACGTAGTGCATTACAGGGTCAGAAATTTTGTGAATGTGCTTATTCGCAAATAATCGTATAAGGAACCGATTATGTTGAAATTGAACGGGTTCAGACGTATTACGAGAAATTATTAATTAATAAAATCATAAATGACCGACTCACCGAATTTAAATACATCAAATTTCTTCCTTTGATGGAGTTGAATATAAATTTCCGCCTTTACATTTATGAACACAGACTTTCAACAATTTTACAAAAAATCGACTGAAGAATATTGGAGACTTTTTTTCAAAAATCTATATTTCGAAAAAATATCCTGTACCTGAAAAACGAAGCGTTATCGAACTTTCTGTTTTAGCATCACTCGAGAAATAACCCTTGGAAGTTTCCATATAATTTATTAATATTGCAAATCCTTAATCGCTGTTTTATTTTGCATAATATGCTCGAGGTATAGTAGCAGTTTTTCAATCAGATTAGTCGTCATATAGCCATATATTTAGTTCATTTATTTCAAAGAATTTGTTTAGACTTACGAAAATCCAAATAATATAAATTCTTTTAATTTGAAAAATGTTTACTATACTCTTTTAAAGTTTAAATTATTGTATTGACTCCATCTGTGTCAAATAATTTTCTTTTCAGCGGCAACAAACAGTATTCATTGGTAAACTACGAAATTCCGCGAGTTCCAAAAATAAATAAGATACCAAGATAAAATTGAATTGGTAGTGTATTTCTCAGTAGTGCATTGCCTAGTCTCAGAGAGTTGGTTTCAAAGAAAAATATATTCTCCAAATTTTCGAATTAATTGATAATTAAATATTGCGCTTGTTTATATTTTTTATATATGTACTTGTATACTTGAAGTAAATTAAAACACAGAACGAATTTAAATCAAAATGATCACACTAAGAGCACAAATGTCGAAATACAGTAAATACACATATATGCAAATGCCGTATTTATATGTATATATCCTGACTCATTTCAGTCGGACCAGCGACTGAGCGCTTCCACGCACGACACCTCATGTCAAATTCCATTAAACGGGTGTCACGCATCTTGAAAAGTGACGTTATATCGATTTTTTGACAATATATTGTTGTTTTTTTTGACATTATGTAGGTTTTTCTACAAAATGTTAGCACTTGGACGTGTTGCCTAAACATCAAGAGGCTTTAGTTATCAATGTTTGGCTCTGATGTTATGTAAAATCTGTCGCAGAGATGGCATTACTGGAGGTCTAAGCTGTAAGTTGTATGTGTTGATGATAATTCGATTGGATTCTTGTCTCAAATACACTTAATCAAGATTCAAAGCTAGAAATTGGTTGCGCAGCCACTTCTTCTTAGCTTGTCTGGAAATTACATATACAAATTTGCTGAATTTCGAAAATGAGATAGATAAGAAATTATATTCTACGTACACTATCGAAATACAGTAATTACACACAACGCGGGCGCGTAATTCTCAGTTTTTCGTAATTTATAACTTGGAACATAACCTCTCTTCAGAAAGAACAACATATCATATAAATAACCCGTCATATTCAATAATGATTTTGTCACACAGCAAATATCACTGATTTTATACACATGCAGACCAATACACATAATCATCCAGATGCGTTTTTGCTATTCACCCAACTTTCTTCTCAGAGATAGAAACTACTGACACGGACTACTCAGCCTCACAAAACATATGCAACCAATAATGCGTGTAGTTTAGTTGAGTGATTCCTCCATAGATGGACGTTCACAACGACACTAGTGAGCAAACGTGGAATGACTGTTTGCGCCCTAAAAACTACCTAGTCTGCAAGTTGACATCCTATTGGTTTTTTTTTGACGTTTTATAGGTTTGGGTTGTAGCCCGTGAAATAGATATTTCGTAGTTATTTTCAGGGATGAGCTGTTACAGATTATAATCTATTTCTGTACCAAATTTTATCCAGATCCGTTCACCCTTTTTGGCGTGATTGAGTGACAAAACATACATATATTTTCTCACGGTTACCTCTTATCACACGCGCAACGTTGTACCTTGATACATCTTGTTGAAAATTAACAGCAACTTTACAAAATGTTATATTTCGCTTTCTTCGTATGGATTCCAGTAAATTCACTATTCGCATTCTCAGCATAACCGTTGGTCGATACCTGTATCCTGCCAGTCCACAAAAAACAATCATTTCCTAGTTTTTTCATCCACCGGTTTCGCAAAAAATCACCCTAACGATAGAAAATAGCACCAGCGGAGAAGAGCTCACCTCAGCCACCCCTCGCTCGGGATAGCATGCTCTTAATTTTCTCACGTGGAAGACGGGCAGGCAAAGTAGGGTTTTCGTGCTGCAGCTACCTGGCCTCATTCGAGACAGCTGCGCGTTCCCCCATGGCATATTGCAACCGGGGTGCACCTGGCGCAAGGGATAACTTGAATCGAAGGGGGACGAGCATGCCCTGCTTTCTCTCCTCCTGGCACACAGAAATACATTGCTTTGGTTTTCGCAAGACACATGTCCGCTTCAAATACGTATCTTCGATGCCATCTGGTTATAATTGGGCTCTGCAAAGGGGTTTCGTTTAGATTCTTAATTTGGAATTGTCTATTTAGGTAGCCCCTAACCTGTTCCGCCCTTGGTACGGAGACTCGATCTGTTTACTTATTTCATATGGCGTTCTAAGCAGAAAATAAACTGGAAAAAACTTCCTATAATTCATGTATTGAGCGTTACAGCGTGGCAAAGCGATATTGGTTAAGTGATTTGCTAGTTTCACATGAAACGTTTTGGAAAAATGCCTAGATTTGCGGCTTTCATATACAGGGTATCCTGGAAGCTGGAACTTTCCAGAATCAACTGTAACATATGAAATAACAAATTTAAAATGCGGAAATGCAGCAGCAAAAACGTAAAAAAGAAATTGGAAAAAGTATGCACTATTCATTTGATCAGGATTTTCAAGTACTACCCTGTCAGGTTTTACTCGTAAATGCTATTGAAATTATCGCCATTCAATTCAAAAAGACAAGCCCGGGACGATCTGAAAGCACTTTCGAAGTTTCAGAAGAACCTTGAAAGCACTCGCAGTAAACTAACATCAAATTGATTACTTCCTTATTGCTATAGGAAGGTGCCAATTTATGTACAAATATCTTTTATGAGTTGGACTGTTTTTAACATATTTTTGAGTGCCATTCTTCCAACAGATCAGCTTCAGCGGAAAAGGTAACAAAGTGAAAATTCGGAAAGGATACATCGCACATTTTAAGACTTCACCAAAATTTGCTAGGCAAGCACCAAATGACTGTAATGTAATGCGCCGTTCTTGAATTCATATTGGAAAAATACAGTTCAATACTAGTTCGGGCTATGCTAGATGTACGAATTCGGCCTCGCACATTCTTCCACCCAAACCCTACCATATCAGAAACGTTCACAAACGAGCATAATCTCATTTACAATATACAACAGCCCACGCATGTTTACAAGCATGCACGCATTGACGCATTTGCTTTTATCATGATGTGAATGATACTCGTCACCCTCAATATGCAAGGACCCTACATGCATAGCGCAATTGCGCATATGACCGTAGCTAAACACAAAACATCTCAATTCATGCCTCCCCTTTTAATAAAAACACCCCAGCCCCAAAATGTGGGGGTGTAGATATGTATGCGTCATTATACTGTGGAGGATTGATGTAGTCAAGTGGTGTTCCAATGGTGTATGTCCAGGGGGTGAAGTCAGTGCACCTTTTAACAATGTTTCAAAGATAAAGAATCCAGCAATGTTTTCTGATATTGACCTGTGAGCTACACATTTCATAATTTGGGCATCACCATTCCGAGAGATCACTAGTCCAGGAACACGTACCGTATGACTCGAATATTTTTTTTGCAAAAAATAAATATGTAGAAAATGATCAATAATATAACATTCTTTAATTAATTTAATTTATTTTTTTAATCTCGCGTTTTTATGATTGTTTTAAAACTGGGGTGACGTAAATATTGACAAAGAAATTGACATGTTGACAAAATAAAACATATGGAGAGAGGAATGTTCCCGACCCAATTAAAAAAGGCAATAATAAAACCTGTATCCAAATCTGGAGATAAACAGAAACCTTGTAAGTATCGCCCAATTTCAGTATTGACATTCTTTTCAAAAAATTTCGAAAAAAACGCTTTTCAGATTTTATTGCAAAATACAACCTCATATCTGAAGAGCAATATGGATTCCAGGAAGCAAAATCAAGTCAAGATGCACTTATTCAGTTAACAACCAAAATTTACAAGTACGTTGACCTAAGCAAACAGGACACAATGTGTGAACATCAACAGCACACTGAGTGAAAATATGATTGTTAGATGCGGAGTTCCACAAGGAACCGTATTAGGGCCAATGCTGTTTAATTTACATATTAATGACCTTTTTAAATTAAGAAAAGATGGAGAAATTATTGGTTTCGCAGACGATACGGCAATTATTTACTCAGACAAAGATTGGACTTCTTTAAAAAACAGAATTGTATTAGATTTTCAAAAGGTTACAAATTTTTTCACGGAAAGGATTTTAACAGTCAATTTCAACAAAACATACTTTCCCCAAATTTTAATCAACTCCAAATTAAAACGTTGAATAGCTGTAGAAAAATACAATCGGTTGATAATTTCAAATACCTAGTGGTATTCATAGATAACCATCTAAGATGGAATATATTGAAAATTTAGTAAGAAAATTAAGATACCTTATTCCGAAAGTCAAATATTTTAGCAGTTTTTTAAGCGAAAAATATATACACATGATATATCATGCCCTTGTTCAATCATTACTATCTTACGGAATCTTAGCATGGGGGGAGTCATGAATAATTATTATAAAAAGATTGAAATTTCGCAGAAGTGGATTTTGAAAGTTATGTTGAACAAAAATAAATGTTATCCCTCAGAAAATCTTTACAATGAATCTCAGCTTTTTGACTGCCGGCAAATTTATTTTTATCATACAATGATATATTTAACAAACAATCCAAAATTGTTACTTTCTATCAGCCACAACCATCAAAGGCGATTTCAAGGAAACCTCTGCACTAACTCCTAGACTTAATAAAACTATCAGACAAAGATCATTCTATTTTCTATACTCAACATTTTATAATGTTATTCCTGCACACCTTAAACATTTAAAATGTAAAAAACGTTTAAAAATTGAATTAAAATCATGGATCCTAAATCAACCAAGGCTACAATCCATAAGTTTGTTGACACTAAAAACCTATATGTTATTTGATCATAAAATGATGCAAATTTATACATTTGACTAGTATACTTAAAGAAAATTTGTTGTATTAATATAACTCAACTTCGGTTAAAACCCGAGCACAAGTGTACGCTTTTTTGGGTATATTATGTTTATTGGACATTGCCGTTATTATTTATACGAAAACTTTGTAATTGGACCAATAAACATTATTGCTATTATTATTATCCTAGATCAGTCATGTTTATAACACACCATAAACATATCAGGTAATCAGTACTCATAATACCTTTCCAATCACCCCGTTGAAAAAAAATGGGAAACTGCAGGATTTGGAGTATGCTTTGCTGGACCATCCTCCTTATTCTCTTGATTTGACCCCCTCATACCACCTTTTATTCCCAGATTTGAAGGAATTTCTTTCTGGAAAGGGCTTGGCGTCCGATGAAGAAGTTGGTAGGGACGTAGATGAAAATTTTGACAACCTTCCAGACTCAATTCCGAGAAGGTATCTTAATATTGGAGAAACGTTGGTCCAACTGGGTTGGAGTCGTAAAAAATGAAAACATTTTTAGACTGAACATCACAGCCTTTTGTTGTCGGGCCGAAAACTTTTCACCCTACCCTTGTATAATTTAATCAATGTAGATAATAATACCCCCTTCTAACTCGTACATTACTCATACGTTTATATATACTTTGGTAAAATTGGATGAAATCCTATAAACAACTTATATATTCTTTTTAGTCATTAGTTGCTATTTTCTCGTTGTGGTAGTTACAGCCCCATTAGATCCGCCACTGTCTTCCCGCGTTACCATTCATGACGAATTCCCCTAGAGAAGAAATAATGGACGTGCCAGGCTGTTCAAATACAAATCCAATAAGTCTCTAGAGGATACGACTAAAGTCTGAAGGGTTGCGAAGTTTCGGAGTAGCGAATTTTTGTTGTAAATCCTCTTAGGGATAAATGAAGACGTTTCTTTTATAAACTTTGTAACAGCATTTCAAGTGTTCGAAAGGATTTGAGGTTTCAATTGAAAACAGAAGAAAAGAGGTTTAAATGCTTTGGAAGGTTAACTTTGTTGATGAAATAATCCCTTGTTACTATTTCACGAGTAGAAAATGGTGTATTCCAGGTGTCGTAAAAAATACTAGGCGTATTCGTGGTAGAAATTTTACAAACTAGATTTTTTTCATAATCACATTTGTTGCCCTTTAAGATGCACCAAGAGGTCGCTGGGAGGTAAGGTGCAAATTTGTTTAAGCAATTTTTCAAACAAATTACTAAATATTGTTTTCTCGTCCAGGCTTCTTTTTGGTTTTTTTGATAATCCTTTCAAAAAAGGAGATTAGTGACTTTTCTCTAAAACAAGTTTTTTATGTGATAAGCGATTTAAGCTGTGAAAAAAAATTGAAATGGTCATTTTCAGTAGCTGAAAACCCGGTTTAAAATCTTCCAACTAGATTTTTTCCATAATCAGGTTTGGTGGATGCCCTTAAGATAAATCCAGAGGTCGCCTGGAGATGAGATGCGAATTTGTTTAAACATTTTTTCAAACAAAATACAAAATATCGTATTCTTCACCCAGGCAGTCTGTTTGAGTTTTTTTGATATTCCATTCAAGAAAGGTCGATAGTAATTTTTTTCTAAAATCAACTTTTTCGAGTTATAAGCGATTTGAAGTGTGAAAAACCTTGAAATGGTCATTTTCAGTACACCAAAAACTCGGTTAAAAGTTCATCAATTTGAAGTTTTGGAGTGTCCAAATTTAAGTTCAAACATTTCCCTACAAGAACCCGAAAAGTTTCTTGGACTCAACTAATTTTAAGGCATTTGTTATTCAATTGTCAAGACACGCGTCCCTTTAGTATATGGAATATTCCGGATACTTTATTGGAGATTGCAAGAATCATCTAATTTTCTACAAGATCATAATAACAATGTCGACAAAATAATACTTTGCTTATAACTAAACAGCTTTCGGATCTGTACAAAATCGGATATTACCCTTGCATTACCCAAAGCTCGTTACACATACTGAAGGTAGCACTTAAAAAAATTTCCAGTACAATTTAATGTACCTTTTCCTGTTTCTAGACACGAATAGGTCTATGCATAATGTATTCTTTTTTATGCCTGTAAAAATGAGCACAAGCCGTGCCTCGAGCCATAAGAAGGCAAAACAGTGGTTAAGGTTGTGCTCACCATACCTTATATCCGGCTAAAAAAAAGCAGGAAACATAATATCAGAAGCATAAGTGCGTGCAGCCTTGGTTCCTTTAGATACGACATGTGTACAAGAATGGTAAAATGGTACGACTGAGTTTATTGAACTTTTATCAGTTTGCAATTGTGAACATCTTGAAAGTACTTGATATGTTTATCTTGTAACTAGCCTAATGCCCCACGGAGCTTGTAGGTAGCGCCACTAGTAAAGTAACAAAATTCACCAAGCATATCATCAAAGATATAAAACGTAATTGGAAGTTTATTGCATTACTTAAAAACAACCTTTAAGTTAGTATCAGTTTCATCGCACGCAAAATAAAACGTATGCCTGATGGCAGGCTGCGCTGTTGCCGGCTTGTCGCTGACGGTGGAGATCCTTGATAGGCGACAGCAAAATCGACGATGAGTTCGTACATAAAATCATGCCTTTATTATGGTTTAGACGTGATGTTGACAAACTGGACAGGCATTCATATTTATATATAGATATTAATAATGATAATAATAAAAATGCTCAAAATTTGACATGTAAACTAACTTGTAGAATTTTCCTACAATATATCCGATATTAGGAAACGGTAAACATTCATTTGCGTGTCTCCTGTTAATTCTGTCAAAAACATAAAATAACGTGGAAGTGTTTGACGCTAAGTATCAACGCTTTCTAGATATTAAACCATGTATAGGGACAAAAAATGTGGTTTTTCTAATATATGAGTACTGTAACACCCAGTAGAGACAGCAATACGGACGGGTCAGGGTCAGTCTGAATATTCTAGCTTCGTGTTTCCTTTCTTTAATTCTATGTAATGCAGTCTCGTCAGAAGATAGTATTAACTGTTCGGTTGGGTCAGTAAAACTAATATGCAGTGAGATTTACTGCTATAAAAGTTATTTCTATAGAAGTAATAAATACAAGTTTTGAGCAAATTTTTAATGTTTTTCTGTTTTTTACAGCATCAAGATCGTCATCACATGGAGGAGGAACCAATAACTTGCCGCCATTGCTGTTTCATCACGTTCACGGCGAAAATATTAGGATATCAAGAGATGGAACTGTGGCCAAACGGGTAGAAAGCTTCTGCAAAGGCATTGCCTTCAGTTCTAGGCCGGTTAAAGTTAACGAAAAGGTAAAAACAAAATATAATGCATAAGTCAAAGTTAACTTCCCCATTTTTTCAAAAAATCTAGAAAATTCATCAGTTTTATTATGGTATTTATTAATTTAGTAATTTACATACGTAATTAGTACACTCAAGGAATCATCTACTCATGAGTACAATATTGCTACCGATTGAATCTAAACTACAACTACAAATCTGTTTGTAGACATTTATAGTACTTCACAAGGCAATCACTAAAGCGAAGAGAACCAACACGTACAAATGTGAGAGAGTTCTTAACACCTAGTATCTCTCTGAGGTACGCAAAAATATATATGTGATAACAGGAAGTCACAGTCTGTGTGTTTGTGATATCAGCACAATTCATAGCGAACATAAACATAGGTACCATGGCGCCGCCAATCACTTACGCCTACAAATACATACGTATCGACCTCCGTCTTCAGGTGTCAGCTTTGCCACATCTTGGGCCTTTTCTCGCAGGTTTTAGGATTTTGGGAATACGAAATCTTACGCATAATTACCAAGGAGGTTGAGTGATGACGCTTCCTTGATAAGTTTGTGTTATGGTTAAGAATAAACAATTTTCTTTAAATAGAAAATGTTATCCTTACAATAAATAGTAGAAAGGACTCGAACAATATATACAAAGAATTACTGCAATTCTACTTGGCAACATGGCTATTGTCACGCAAAAAAATGTATGGTTGGGCATTCTTGGAAAATACACTAATAGCATTGATCGAGCTCAAAATGGTTTGCAAGTTACCGCTATTTTCTAAATACTCGATTAAGCTTGATAAAAATGATTTGCTGGCAAGTCTTATATTTTCATTTTTTTTTCCTTCTAGGTATGCATAAAGTTCCTAGAAATATCCAACAACTGGTCAGGAGTGATCAGATTCGGCTTTACTTCAAATGATCCTACAGGCCTTCGATATGACCTACCAAAGTATGCCTGTCCTGACCTCACCAATAAACCTGGATATTGGGCCAAGGCTTTGCCTGAACGGTAAGTATTGTACATACAAATCAAATTTAATAAAATGATGAAAATTTGTGTAAAATGTTTTATACTGTTCACTACTAAAATTGAGCCTCTCAATGGTATGTATACAGAATCGAACAATAGTACATGTCGGAATTTCAAAAGCGGGGCATTACGCATTATAATTAAAATTACATGTTTATGAATAAATCCAGGACAATGGGCAATTTACGTAAATCACAGAAAAAATGTTATATGAATGACACACAAATAATAATTAGACTGCACCTCTTTCAGTAAAATAGTTGTGATACATCAGATTATTATTTTTTTCCAGGTTTTGCGCTCAAGGGGCAGTTTTGTTCTACTACGTCACCCCAACAGGCGATGTCCATTTTGGCATCAACGGCGAAGAAAAAGGTGTGTTCTTTGGCAATGTTGAAACGCGAGGACCTCTGTGGTGCCTCATCGACGTCTATGGCAACTCTACGGCTATCGAATTCGTTGATGTGAGACATCAGTTAAACAATTCGAATAGGTAAGTTTTCGCTTGCTCATTGAGAAAGTGAACAATCTTAATTGTGATATCTCAGAGACCAAGTAACGGTCCCAAACGAGAGCCTTGAGGTACTCCAGCAACAAACGACCTAGAAAGGAATTCTAGAAGCCACTGTAGCTATAATGTATTTTCTTAGTAAACACACCAAATCCTCAACGATTGGATAATTGAATACTTAATGGTATTTTACCTCCAAATTAAGTTTCAAGAGTATATGAAGCTTAATATAAAATATATGTTTAATTGTTTCAGATATAATAGTACAGGAAACTGTGAAGTGTTCCGACCAGATCCAGTAGAAAGGATAACTTATCCCATGCAACAAATGGCGATTCAACCCAGCGAAGAATTGTCTTTACCATTGTTACGTTACCAACCGCCTCACCTCAATTACCAAGCAATGCCTCTGCATAGAACGAGAGGACGTAATGTTAGGTAAGAAGGTTTTTATTGCTTTTCACTAGTTCATTACCACTATATCAATATCATGCCACGCATTATAGGCCTGCCAGATTTCCTCTACGCATTCTAATTATTTCGAACTCCGTACATAAACAATTTACCGGCACGATAGGTGATAAGGTATTTTTCATCTAAAGATACAAAAACTTTTGCTGGGTAACTTTTTTGTTTCTATTGTTTTGTACCAATCGCTATTTTTCTAATTTATTTTTTACAAAATCTTTATTAGTGGTTGACATCCAGAAAAAATGTCATCAAGATCGCTCAACATTTTAGACAAGCTGTACATATGAGGTCTCATTTTAAAGCTTTTTTTGTTTTCTGCAACTCTTTGATGAATCATTTATTTAGACCAATACAATATAATATATGCGTGAGAAAGCGATTTTTCCAACTTTGACGTTTAATAAAAAAGTTACCATGTAAAATGTTTTGCATCACTAGACAATAAGACCTTTTCATTTGCTCTTCAAAATGGTAAAATCCATCTGTATATTTCTTATAGAACATTGTCCGTTTTTGACCAGTTATCCCGAACTATCACAGCTGAATCATCAGGTCAACTTTCGTGGTGTGGTCACTGCCACTTGTGCTTACAATTATGTATAAATAAATACAATGTGAAAATATTTCTATTGCCAATATATCTATAAATCTCATTTTGCATTACATGAATATTTCATAACGAGCAATATCACTGTATAAATCATATTGTTTAAACAATGTGCAACTTTTTTCCCATGCATTTTAATCAGAAAGGTGTTACGTACAGTTGTTTTATTGTTCATTTTTATTGCAGGTTTATGAATGGAAATCGTAGTGTAGCATATAGAACGGATACGGAATTCTGCCAAGGCTACGTGTTCACGTCGAGACCCCTGCAGATTGGAGAAAGGATGGTAGTTCAAATTTTAGGAACTGAACCTATGTTTCAAGGCTGCTTAGGGTTAGGTAAGTTAAAAAGCAGAAAGCCTCAATTCATGTCATTTACCTTCATACATCGTTTTCAATGGATAAAAAATAGTGATAAAAAGTGGTGTCAACCACATTGATTTAATACTTCTGATTTAATTCCCAATCATTTCGCACTTGCGCCTGCCCAATTTCAAACATTTCTACAAAACAAATTTCTTCATACATCCCTTCATCTAAACAAGTCATAACATTTACTTCAAATATTTCGGTTACATCAAGTTTAATGCTGTACGAGAATATCAAAAACAAGGAAAACTAGTGCTATGTGGGAATATTTCGACAAAGTTACTGATCAAAATGTCTACGATATCGACAGTGCAATTTGTAATCTATGCAATAACAGATTTCTTTAGAGAAAAAAAAAAGCGAGACATCAAATAATATAAAGTATCATCTTTCTAAAAATATGCAATATGCTAATATGAAACTATTAAACGATTCAGGCAAAACTTAAGACTGAAAATAAATGTGATGTTTCGTTTTATTATACATGTTACAAAAAGTTTTGTTTGGCTTCAATTTAATAATATTAACTTTGAAATTTATTTTGGTCGGCCTATATCGGCCTATGAGCATTCAAACAAGTGCTCGACAATACTGATGTTATGTTTTTGAGTCATCGGAGATAATTTCTCAATTTAAAACGATTCTAGCGTTTTGAAAGCGGACGGTAATACTGAATTTTGGAGTCTAAGATAATCAAGGTATGTTCATCTAGATGTATTGAAAACAGAGCAAAAATTTCTATGTACGCGCAGTCAGGCTTGAGCTATTGTGGACACTCTACTTGCTTCTACGTTAATTAAGTTCGCAGTTTTAACTCAGTTCACGCTTTGTCGGACTTTTAGAGCAAACACTGATCACTTTCTGTCTTTCCAGGTCTGACCTCCTGCGACCCAGCCCTCCTAACGGCTGCCGACCTTCCTGACGACTCCAACTGCCTGCTGGACCGACCGGAATACTGGGTGGTATCCCGCGACATTGCGCGCCATCTACACAAAGGCGACGAAGTCTCCTTCTGCGTCTCTGCAGAGGGTGAGGTCCGTATCGGCAGAAACGGATGTCCTCCAAGCATTGTAATCCACGTAGACCACACTTTGAGGTTATACGCATTCTTTGATATCTATGGCTCCACGCAGAGGATCAGGGTGCTGAGCTGTCCTCCCCCTCAGTCGCAAGTGCAGCATATCACTGGAGCTGTGTCGCCTCAGCGGAACCCTGAGAGGTAGGTCACGAAACTGCCCTCAGTTTGAATGTTTTTGTGTATTTCTGTGTACTTTATCACAAATCTCTAAATATGTATTTTTTGCAGACGCATAATCAGCCCAGTAACACCCTCATCCGCAGCCAGCGAGTCCATGAACAGTATTAACGCCCAATCCGAACTCCAGCGCAGACAACAATCTACAACCATCGTGGCTACCCCTCAACAGGTGGCGCAACCTGCCCAACCCCAGCCACAACCTGTCATGTGCGTGACCCCCGCTGACATCCAAGTGCAACCAGGGGCCAATGGGGGCGCAGTGCTCTCTGTTATCTTGCCGCCCATCATCCAGCAGTCCAACGGGCACCACCATAACGGGCACTTGGGAACCGCAGGGTACCAGAGCGGGCCCATGGCTCCGGGACATGTGAGTGGGTCGGCAGGACCTGCCGCTATGCCTACGGGGACTATGGTGTCGGTGTGTAGCAGCAATTACGTTGAGGTGAGTTGGTTTGGAATTAATATTTTTTTTTTAAATAATTCTCCATGCTCAATATAGGCAAAAATATTCTCTGGTTTCTGGGTAAGATGGTCGGTTCACTTTTGTGACTACTAACGACTAGCCACCAATTTTAAACAAATTCTCTCTTTTTGTTACAGCCCCTGTCCGACTCGAGTGCCTATTCCACGCCCCTGCCCTGGTCAGAGGCCGTTGCCGCGTTGCCGCCCTCCAGCATGTCCGCCCCCGGGATACCGCCGGCCCCAGGTGCCGAATGCACCATCTGCTACGAGCAACCAATCGACGCCGTCCTCTACATGTGCGGCCACATGTGCATGTGCTACGAATGCGCTCTGCAACAATGGAGAGGCAAAGGGGGCGGTCACTGCCCGCTGTGCAGAGCTGTCATCAGAGATGTGATACGCACGTACAAATCGTAAACGATCAGAAGTGGGATACATGTACAAAGCATGATGCGAATGTTTGGAATAGGGATCGATTATTGGTGGAAATACTCGGAAATGGCCAGCATCAATCCAGAAATCTGATCTCGACAACCTCGGGTGTACACCAACAAAATTGCATTCAATGATACATGGTACCAGTCACCCTCTAACTCTACGCAAAGAAAATCCATTGTTGCTTCCAGGATTAGAGACTTCCTTAAATGTCCTTTACAGATTCTGGATTGATTATGGACCATATCTGAGATGTATAGTCTTACACAATATTAGACTCGTGTAGTTTATTGAGGCCCTTGTTCTTTAGCAACCTTAGAATATTGTGTTGGACTCTACCACGTTAATGTTGCATTTTTGATGTTGAGTATTTATTGAAGAATATGGGCTTTTTGTATTATGTTCTTAATCACAGCTGTTTTGTTTTTTTATAATAAAACTGTTTTGGGCGGCATTTTGTGTTATTGCTAACGTTTAGATCGTTTTGAAGTGAGAAGATATGTACATATATTATTGTCAATGAAAAGTGTGATGAAAACAATTAACAATGACATTTGCGAGAAAAAGTGTTTATGTTTTGCATCTTTGCTTTTCATTTCGTCGTAAATGTGACTCTCAAAGACACACGAGTTCAAAAAAAGGCTTTGATTTGTATTTTAGTTTTTTTTTTGTAAAATGATTTTTTACTTTTTCTGGATACTCGTCGGGTTTTCACGCTTTTCATTGACTGTTGCAAAACAAAATATCACTTATTAATGGTTTTTGTTGTTTCTACTTTATTATTAATGTCCAAAGGTGTACATTGTGTGGATATTTAACTGTTGACCAGTGCTTCCAAAAATCTAGGAATAGTGTAACATATGAATATCTTTAACTGCCTAAAAATTGGAAACTCGTTAGTTTAAGAGCGAAAGACTGATGCGATTGACTATAAAACAGTCAGTGTCTTGACCAAATACTCTTGTTAAGATATCTAAATTTAAATTTTATTATGACTTAGATTCCACACACACCAGAATAAATGTTGAACTTGAACTGTACGATATGGGCTTAAGCCTTATTATTCATAAATGGTCGCATCCAGGGAACCACAGCACTTAAAGCAAAGAATGTCAGTGTCCATTTGATACAAATAGCCGCTGACAAAAGCTATGGTTTCCTGGATGCGTCCAAGCATTGATATAAAAAAATAAAATCATGACACTGAATGATTTCTAGCCTGCAAGATGTTAGAGCATTGTATAAATATATTTTTTTGTACTGTATATTTTTGTGGGACAACCAAAGAGCTGAATGATGGAATGTTAGTCTTTCTGTCAATCTTCTAATTGATAGTCAAATCCTGCGTCATTGCAGTTTAAACTTATTTATTTATAAATACCTGTAAAATCAAGATCAACTTTTTTGTTGAAGAACCTCGCACATCAATGCATTATTCAAAGATTCAGTATGACAATTGTACGACATGACTTATACAAAGATGTCATGGAACCGAGCGTCTTCTAACGACTATAGAGAAGTTCTTCAACAGAAATATGTGATTTTAAACCTTGTTGTGTTTTCTAGTCGTATAATGTGAATCATCTAAATAACGAACTAAAAAACACAAACTTTGTTGTCAAGAAATAGTATATAACTTAAGGTCTTTTTTAGGAACAGAGTTGTTTAATGTATTTAATGAAACCTAATAGTTAAAGAACATTCCTATAATACTTGCTGGCCAGTAATGTTGGTCAAAGAAAATATATCAGTCCTTTTATGAAAAGGGTAAGATTCGATTACTATTTTATCCCTAGGTAGTAAAATCCTTTTGTAAATTAGAATTTCTAGTCATTAAGAAGGTACTGATTTAGTGAAGATAGTATAATTATTTGCGAATAAAATGTTATCTATTGTGAAATTTGTGTTTTATTCTTGTTCTACCCCAGCGATACAGAGTGTTTGCTTTTCTATGTTACCAGCATAGACTAGATCAGTGGTCGCCAACCAGTCGAATTTCTCTGTTACCACTGTATTATCCATCAGCAAGCAGTATGTGGACATTTTTTAAAACTGAACAACGTTATGAAATTTGTAGTAGAAATGGTGAACAAGATTAGAGCTCAAGCGTTAGAAATAAGATTATTCAAAACCTTGACCGATGAAATTGACTGTCAATACGGGGAACTTCTTCGCTCTGAAGTCCGATGGTTAAGTAGGGGATGAGTGCCGAAACGTTTTAAAGATATCATATCTGCCATAGTTCAATTTTTCAAACAACGTGATAAGCCGATTCCGCAACTGGCTTAGAGATTTTGGCCAGGCATTTTCCTGTTCTCTGAAAGTCCATTAGAACCATATGACAGTAAATATCATGTAGAAATAGTCTCTAAGTTGAAGGATAACTTGAAAAATCGTTTCACGGATTTCAACGAAATTGCTATAGTGGCGCAATTTGTTGTTTCACCCTTCATGGAAATTGATATCCAACGGCTTGCAACTTCTGTTGCGCAGAATTTTAGCGAAGACATCGCTGCGACAGAAATGGAAGTGATTGCGCTTCAAAATGATTTAGCTTTAAAATCACTAGTCCCAAATACAAAATGTATCTGACCTTCAGTAAGTAAAGATAAATATTCAGTTTTATGTCGTGTTGCCTCGAAAGTGAAGGCGTTATTTAGTTCGACCTATTTGTGTGAATCTTCTTTTTCAAATAATATGAAGTTTATTAAAAACAAATACCGTAATCGACTTACAGAAGATTTTAACTTCAAATTAGATACTTGGAAACCTCAAAAATTATTATTTTCAACCAAGTTTTTGAGTACTGAAGATAGCCATTTTTAGTTCAGAATCAACTTTATCATTTGTAATTTGCTTAATAAATATTATAAACAAATGTGCACCTGAAGTGCAAATAGTAAAGCTCTGTTGTATTGCCCAACAAGCCAAAAAATTTCTACATGAATCACACATTTATTTACCTAAAAGAAAAATAGGATTTATTCATTATCATTAAGAGAGGAAATTTAACTATTAGAATTAGAGCAATGCGGTGAAATAATGGTCATTCCTCAAGTTAGTAGTTAAACAATAAATGAGCTCACCAAAAATGACGCCATATGAACCAGAGTTTTTTCAGATTTTCACCATCCATTTCGTAAAGAGATCATCCGTCCAACAGGTAAAAGTCACTCGTGGTAAACTAATCCACATTTTGCCGATAGATAAGACCGATTACGATCACTTTTTCTCGATATACTAGTGCATCTCTCTCCCGAAAAGAAGAACCGTTCAGATATCACGAACATAGGCACAAAAACTTGAAAACAACTGAATACACAGCATTTGATCTCGACGGCCAATCGGAGCTCTCGGTTGTCGACGTTTCGCTTGCTATCCGGGAAATCACAAACTAGTTATAGTCTAGTCAAATAAGGATTACAGGTGGTTATATAAATATTTGAAGCTTTTATTGGATTTTCAATCAATTCAAGCATTTTATTTGAATTTAAAAATATTTGGATTGGACTCTCACACATGATATATACATACAATGAGTACATATATTATTTGGATCAGATTGTCAAACTGTTCGTGAAATTATTTGATGAAATAAATTATTCCAGATGTGTAAGCCGTCAACAAACTTGGAAATGCTGTAAGGATTTTGTATATTTTTCAAAACTGGTACCTATAAGGATTCTCGAATGTTTTTGTTGTGAATTCTAACGGATTTCACTTTTATTTGAAGAACACTAGTTGGATTTCTGTTTGCCAGGGAATTAGTAAAATTGAAAATGAAGACTGCAAATCAAATCTATAATTTGATTCCACTACTTGAGAGCAGACCTACGAGTAGCCTCTTAAGCTTTCAAAAATCTCTTTTTCGTGAATAATTCAACTATCTATCCAATATGTAATATGTGTAATTTAGTACAGTACTGGCCAGCTCGCATCAAAACTACATACACGCATATTGCCAAAAAAAATAGTAATTTACAACAATTCTGTGGATTCCAAGATGTCTTCACTCATGATACCCTCTCACATGCCAAATCTCAACTTTTTTCTTGATTAGATTCGCCTGTATATCCTTTTCAACGTTCTTGAGTTTCAATTTTCTCTTAGCAACCAAGAAGTTTTCGTTCATTTTTCTGTTTTTTACGACATTTTTGCGAAGTTCTTTGAATTTGTAGTGATCTGCGGCTGGTCGTATGAAAAAATAGTAAAAAAGTTGAATGCAACTCAGGAAACTGCATCCCAGGAAAAAGCCCACAGCTCCGCCAATTTTTACTGAAAGTTAGTTTTTAAAGATTCGTTTTCAATTATTCTTTTATTATTATATACAGGGTGGCGCATCGAAAATGAAACAGACGCATTTACGGGCAGCTCAGTTTTTTTTTTAAACGCTCAGACCCGTCGATTTTGTTTTCGAGGGGAACACAAGTTTGGCAAAAAATCCCGTTAGCACGTGCAGCCCCCTGAGAGGGGGTGACACCACCCCCAAAATCTTAAATGGAAAGGGGGGTCGAGTGATACCTTGTTTCAAAGGTCTTTCAATTCGCTTTATAATGATATAAAATTAATGTACTTCAGTTCAGTAGTTTTGAAGATTTATTGATTTAAAGCTTAAATAAAACTAATACATCACCATTAGTGGAGATCAATACATTTGGCAGCAAAGTAATTTAAAAATGAAGAATGAACTGACCCGTTAGGCAAGTAAATGTTGAAAATGGCCACCGTGACTCTCCATGCAATAATAAAGATTTTGCTCAAAACGTTGCCGCACATTTTGCAATATTTGAGGAGTAATTTGAAGGCACTCATTCACAATTCTTTATCGCAGGTCTCCTAATGATAAATGACCCCACATAAAGAAATCCAAAGGTGATTCAATGGCACCTCTTCTACCAATCCATCGATCTGGAAACGTGTGATTTAAATATTGTCGAAATCGACGGGTCTGAGCGTTTTTCCAAAAAAAAACTGAGCTGCCAGTAAATGCGTCTGTTTCGTTTTCGATGCGCCACCCTGTATATGTAGATAGATGATATTTCAAAAGTAAGGTAAACTAAGTAAGGGGACGATTATTGTGTCCACTTTAAGAAAAAAAAAGCATAAATGTGTGCCTAAACGTCTTAATTTTTGAGATGCAGCAAGGATTTCATAAAATATCCTAATACCACACATTAAGATTTGCTGCACACATGATTTATACATAGAATGAGTATTATATTATTCAGATTGGCAAACTGTTGGTAAAATTATTTAATAAAATAAATTATTCTAGATGTTTAAGCTGTCAAAAAACTTGTAAATGCTTTTGTACATTTTTCAAAACTGATACCTAAGGAGGCTCGAATGTTTTTGTTATGAATTCTGACGGATTTCAATTATATTTTAAGAACACAAGTTGGATCATAATTGCCACCTCATATATTACACGCTTTTTTTTAAATATTAATTTCTGTTTAAAAGGAAATTAGTAAAATTGCATTTCTCTGCATGCTCATATGGCTGTAATGGCACTTTGATACAAGATCGACAATATAATGTTTCTCATTATTTTACTCGAAAACCGCAAATCGATGGAAAGATAATTGAAAGACTAACTTTGCTCATAACTGAGTGAGAATTACATAAATAATGTTTGTTATCAGAAAACGCAGTGGCCGGCCATGTTTTTTAACTAGCTTAAATCCAAAACTTTCCCACCGTATATCTCAAAATGTAAGGCGTTTATGAGAGTTTTTCTTAAAAAAACCTAAGAATCGCTCCCCTAAGTATTTTGCTTTACTTTTGAAGAACCCCTTTATGGTGACATCGTAGTAAGCCTACCTATGAGATCCAAAAGTGGAGTACTATCGTATCTAATATTTCTTATTGTAGATGGGGAAGCCTGTATGTTGAATCTTATTTGACTGCCCTTTCCAAGCCATCTAAAAACAAAAAGCAAATAAGAACATAAGGACTTGAAGTAGATTGATTTTGCGATATTTTTTCAAGAAGTTGTATAAATTAATTTTCAATTTACTCCAGTCATGAAATCCCTGAGTAATGAGAAACTTCTTCTTGGGAGCATGAAAAAGCGACGATGGAGGTTCTGTATGAAAAAATTTGAGAATATACAGGGTGTCCGCAAAGTTGGGGTTTTCCTTTACACGACGTGTAGACCTTTTTTTTTTTTTTTATATATCGAAACAGCCGCGCAGGCAGAAGCCTAAATGCCGGAACACCGCGGCTGCTATGATGATCCCAAAGAAATTTTGTTAATACGATTCTTGAACTGCCTAAGGTTAGTAGAACTGGGAAAAGCTTCCTCCCGTAGTTTGTTCCACAATCTAGACACCCTCGGGACAAAGGAGCGGTCGTATCGGCCAGTTCTGGATGTACGAAGTTTGACACGGTTAGGATGGGACGCCGAAGTCAGGCGGGTCTGTCTGGCAGGCACATCGCGCGGCGGCATCGTGGAAGAGAGCTCTGAGGAGCAAAGCCCGTTGGTGTAGCGATAGAAAAGAGCTAGATCGCCGACGGCCCGCCGGTGCGAAAGAGTCCCGAGACTGTCTGTTAGAGAAGAGTCATCGATCAGTCGGACCGCCCTCCTCTGGACAGCATCGAGCATGGACAATGTAGTCGGGGCGGCAGCACCCCAAATGTGTGAGCAATACTCGAGGCTAGGCCTTATCTGGGCCTTGTATAGAGTGAGAAGGTCATGCGGAGAAAAGTACTTCTTAGCCCTAAACAAATAGCCTAGCTTTTTCCCAGCAGCTGCAGCTATTGAAGAGATGTGTTCGTGCCAGGTCAGGTCCTCGGTCATCTGGACTCCGACCAGCCGAAATGAATGGCTCTTTGGTAGAACTCGACCGTCCATCGAAACTGTATGAGCGCTAGGACGCTTTTTGTTCGTCAAAGTACAGTACTGTGTTTTGGAAGCATTGAACTGTACAAGATTGTTGCGTCCCCAAGCAGTGATAGCCTCCAGGTCTCTTGTCAGAGAAGAAGTCGTCGCTAGTCTTCTTTTTTCCAGCTCAGCGGCAGAGATCGGCTTGTCACTCTGAATTCCTGCATGTAGAGTGCTGTCATCAGCGAAGCTGTGGATTGGGTTGATCGTGCAGGAAAGGAGGACCTTGAAAACATAAGCAATTTTTCTTAGTACCATATACACCAATGTCTTAAGGGAACCGAGATAAAGGGCTCTGCAACATCAAAAATATCTGAATACCGTCCTGTAGCCGCGACATCACCGACTGGTACAAGGTCTCTGACTCAACCCGACGACAGAACTGGGTCGGGGTCAGTGTGTCAGGTCAGTATGCAACCTTGAACTGACGGCTACGGTCACGCGTGTAGAGGTAATCGCGTAGACGAGAATCCCTCAACAAGCACTAGAGACGTGGCTAGAGAAGTGCAAGTATCAAAAACTAAAGTGTGGCAAACGCTGCGTGAAGAGGGGCTGTATCCGTTTCTCGTCCAACGTGTACAAGCCCTTCAACCTGACGATTTTCCAGCAAGAGTGCGGTTTTGTGAGTGGTTGTTGCAACAACATGACAATAATTCGGACTTTTTGAAGTGCATATTGGTGACAGACGAATCTACGTTCACGCGTAATGGGGTGAATAACTTTCGCAACACTCATGTTTGGTCAGTAGAAAATCCGCACGCTGTCCGTCGGGCACATTTTCAACAAACATTTTCGGTGAATGTTTGGGCTGGCATGGTGAACGGTATGCTCATTGGACCATTTATTCTCCCAAATCGATTGGACGGGATGCAATACCTAGACTTTTTACGCAACATTTTGCCTTCCTTGTTAGAAGATGTGCCCTTAAGTGTAAGACAATCAATGTGGTTTCTGCGTCTGCTCGGTAGCGCATCGGCTGATTTCATTTTCTGTTGGAGCGGTATGATTTCGGGCAGAGACGTACTTAGCCCTTCTCGTCAACTGGAGAGTGAGTACTTTTTCCTTTATTTTTTTTTACTTGGTCGACCACGTTTCACTACACATTACCTTTGTTTTTTCAAGGGTAGTTGTTTCTGAAAAGGAAAACCCCAACTTTGCAGACACCCTGTATACAAACTTTTCCTTCCATGCAATAAACTTACTTATGTTGTTCCGGAATCTTGTTCATGATATATCCGATCTTGGTTACCTCACTTGTTTTACAGTTAGGCAAACAGAAACAATCTTGGGCCATATAAGATTCTATGTCCCTGTTGAAATTGGTACATAGCATGCCTGTCAGGTTACAGTACTCGTAGACTTCTGCAAAATTGAGGAATTTCAAAAAATGTAAATCAGTCCACAATTTTTTTTCGGAATCTTTTTTTTAATAATAAGCAACTCTGGTTACTTCGGAAGGAGTTATTTGGAAACCGTCTTTTAAAATTCTAAAATACTAAATCATATATATAGCTTATTTTATTTATTTTACCCAGCCTAGGGAAGATATGGGCTGCACATCCACAAAACTTCTTCTGAGCCTCAATATAGCATTCGATTTCGCAGTTGGCCTGCGTGTAATATTTGAAATGCTTTAGATTGTTTTCCCAGTAGCGCCTACATTGCCTCCTTTCTAAAGACATGTCTTTATCTTCTGGATTAGTAATTGTACCCTTCAAGAAAAATACGGTTAAGAAAAGCGAAACAGATTCGGTTCACCTATATTTCTTTGAAATGTCGAGGCATGTCCAGCTTAACTTTTCCAACATCAATTTTTTGAAAAAACTAAAATGAAGTTCGTAATCATGTGCACAAAAGTAAGAGCTTTTCAGCTTTCAAAGCTGATCGAAACTTCTCAAGTTCTGCCTGCCTTCATTAAAGTTAAAAGTTATGACAACACGGTGTTTCAATTTATAATATGTATACGCTTTTTATAAGTTTATACATGTTATTCGTATGTAGCATAAGTGTATAATTATTATTTAGCTCATAATATTTGATTTATAATTATTTCACTCCTCAACTATGGGATAGAAAATAAAATACCCGCTTGTATAACATGCTTACCTGAATTCCAACAAAAATATCATGCATTGAAGCAGCTTGAAAATTGGTAGCTCCAGAATCGGCTATCTCGTACCTCGTATTTTTCGTAGTGGGCACAGATTCCGGACCAAGTACTGATAAAACTAAAAACGGCTTTTTGGCTTCTACTGTCAACATAGACATCTGCTTTGTTATGTTAAATCTTACCCTGGAAGGGCTGCAAAATACGACGTAAAAGGTCTTACGTTTTCGTTATCCGGCAATAAAAATCTATGATAATGAAATCTGGCATCTTAGGGCTTTACTTAGAAGATTAATAATCATACGTAATGTATTAGAGAGCTAAGACTATGCCAGTTCCGATTTTGGGTATACCGACGCTCCGGCTAGGTGAAAGAAGACGAAGTATTTCAGGCGTATATCTTTAATTAATTTTTGCTTTCTAATGATTCAATGCCCATAGTTTCACTCGTGTGGGATTATACCAATATTCTCAACTAGTATGAAAAATGGTACGGTCAAGGTAAGGGCGTATTTACCCCAAGCCAAAAGGGCCATGGTACTTCATTCAAAAAAGTTTGCTTTTTTCGTTCTTTTATCGAGCGGCAAACCTTAAGATACCCCTGGCGTTGAATTTTAAAATACGTCATTGGGTCAAGGAATGTTTCCTTCAATAGATTCTATGTTTGTCTCTTATGTCCTTGTTTGGTTCTTTTCTATCTTCTGAACGGCTAAATACTTACTCTCCGTGATAATTATTGAAGGCGAAACAGGTTCCAAATCCAGTATCCACGGGTAGGAAATCTGAACAGCAGTCAAACTTTTCATCATTATACGAGCAGTACGTAAGTAGATCAGTACAATTGCTTCTAAACTGAAAACAAATTTATACAATCGGGGAACTCGTGAGCATTACAAATATCATCATACAGGATGGCACATCCATGTGTGGACGGAATATTACTCATAAACAAATACATTTTGGGAAAATCCATTTATAGGATGTTATACATGACATTTAGGGTACATTTCTATATTATTGGCCATTATACAGGGTGTCCCAATTTCAACCTACATATAAAAGTTGTGATTTTTCAAATGGAATGCCTAAACGCTTAATAACTGAAAATCTGTGTGATTTTATCTGAATCTAACCTTATACCAAAAAAAAGCTTATGAACAATTGAATCCAAAGTGGCACAAATATACAGGGTGATGCATTTGAAATTTTTGAGAAAAAGTACAATTCGCGTTTTTGACCACCCTGTAGGAGCAAAAATGAAAATTCGAAAAAGTAACAAATAGGATAAAAGCTGAGGTGTATAAGTTTTCTTTGAGTCAAAATTCAGCACTCCAAATTTCTAAATGGCGGATTGAGGGATTGCCGAAGTGATCGATTTTTCTGGACAAAACACCTTACATCTCAGTAGATTATTACCAAAACCCTATAGTAGGTTACATCAATCTTCTTCTTTAGAACTGGTTTATCCAAATGTGCAATAAAATTTGAGGCATTCCATTTAAGAAATCACAACTTTGATAGGTAGGTCAAAATTGGGACACCCTGTATAATTGCCAATATTTCAGAAATGTGCCCTGAACAACATGCCATTAATAGATTTTTCCAAAATGTATTTGTTCATGAGTAATATTCCGTTCACACATGGATGGGCCACCCTATATAGTACAACACAGTAAGTAGCCTCTTAAGAGTATGTTTTCCCGTAAATATTAGTACAGGAATATATGTACAACAAAATATTGAATTATGAAGTATTTTATAAATTTATGTTGCACAAAGGTACACATAAGGTTTTATTTGTTACGTCTGCGTAAATGCTCTAAATGGATACAATGAAAAGTCGTATTACGTATTGTTGATACCCACTTTCATATATATTGAATAATTGCCTTGCAAACACGTCTCTGGTCTGTTTCGACAAGCTTCAGCCCTTTCGCCAAATCTTGGTGGTCTATAAAATGCCATATCAAGTGCTTGTAACACTTGGTTGTCTTCGTATGATGTTTTTGCTCCAAATAATCTATAAAATTCACATTTGAAACTTATTTTAAATCTCTACATCATTCACGAGATATTTAAGGGGAAGGTGTCTAGATAACTGATAAACACAGTTAATATACCGATGATTGTTCAAATACGCAATTTAAGGGTGGAAAAAATATGAACTGCAAATTGCGTATTGAGCAATCAGCGATGTACTTAATACAGTTGCATGGTTGCACAGTTATCTAGGGTGTTCCAGAAGTCAAAAAATCTACACAGGGTGATGATCTTTCAGTTCTCATTACTTCAAATTTCAATTTTTTCTCAGACCCAGTGTCGGACAGTATCATTCTACGTAGTGGCAGCAAGACAGATAGTAACGCTACTCTATGCACATTATATCTTGATGCGGAATACCCGAGCAGATGAATAGGACGGTTTGTTACAATTTCGTGGCCAGCCCGTTCACCTGACTTAAAACCACTCGATTTTTTTTACTGGGGAGTGGTGAAAGAAAAAGAAAAGTTTACTCATAACCAATGGAACATTTAGCTGAGATCCGGGACATGATACCGGAAGCAGCTGAGCTTGTGAATAATGAAAGATTCGCCCCTCTGATAACCCGATAATTTTTAAGAAGATATCAAGCTTGCATTGCTGCTGAAGGAAGGTAGTTTAAACATTTATTGAGAATTTAATAAATACATTCACGAATTAATAAAATTGGCGATACTAACTATTCGTCATTTGTTTGTCTGGGCGGTCCGTAGGACCTTTGCCCATTAGTCACTGTCTAATGTACGTTAGTCGAATCTGTCAGTCCGGGTTGCCCAGAAACCAGACAAAGTCAAGGAAAAAGAGAAAGGGAAAGAGAAGAAAAAAGGAGAAGAGCAAAGAAAAACAGATATGCTTAGTTTAAGAGGAAACACCTAGGCTTTTTGACTTGGTACACGGATTAATTTTGAGGTGAACTAAACAAATTTTTGATTCGGTTTTGTTAGAGTGTAATTTTGGGTTTACTAAAGATTCACGCTAACTTTTGATTACAGTGCGAGCCGTGGCCTTGAATGTTTACGAACTTGCTCCACTGTGTAGTCCACATTGGCGATACTATCTGTCTTGCTGTCACTACGTAGAATGTCACTGTCCGTCACTCCGTCTATTTTCTATTCTATTAGTCATTATTCGTCAGAGCGGTCCGGTGGACCTTGGCTCTTAGTTAAAAGTCTCGTCGGTCTGTTAGTCTGTCAGGTCTGGCTACCCAGATACCAAACATGTTTAAGGGGAAAAGGGAAAGAAGGAAAGAAAGGAAGGAAGAAATAGAGCAAAGAAAAGAAGTAAATCATTTGAAATAGCTTAAGCATTATTGCTTTGACAACTATTTTGTAGCTCCTAAAAATAATTTTGTTCGGTTTACAATTTAATTTTGATCACAGAGCGAGGCGCGGTCTGGAATGTTTGCGAACTTGCTCGAGTGTAGTCTACTGAATCACGCAACAGAGGGTTGCTGTGCGATTCAGCTTGATTATAATGGGATATCAAGATCTCTGTGAATGGTCTCATTTGACACGTACCAATGGGCATTAGTAATTGTGCGTAGGGTTCTGTTTTGCAGGACTTGCAGTCTCTACATGTGCGTCTTGGCAAGAAAACACCAAGCCTCGCATGTCTAGGTGACTGCGGGTCTTATGACCATTTTTTACAACCGAAGCTTGTTGATCAAATTTTGAATTTCTGCACAACAAAGGATAAAGCTACCGAAAGGTAATTTTGGAATTTCAAAATATCAGTATGTTTCTGCCAGGTCAACCCCTTGTCAATGATGACTCCAAGATACCTGACAGATTGCTCCCATGGTATACGAGTTACGTTCACTGATATCTCTGAGGAGGCACCTCGACGTTTTTTAGTACAATAGATTGGATGCGTCTTCGAAGTATTAATTTTGATCAACCACCGATCCGCCCCCTCCAATACTTCCTCCACCTAACTCTGCAGCCCGTCGTGAACCAGGTTACGAGAACAAGACTGGGCTAGCAGTGCAGTTTCGTCAGCATAGAGATAGACTTCACAGTTGCTGGGGCAAGGGACATCATGTATATAAAGTGAATAAAGGATTGGTCCTAAGACCGAACCCTGAGGAACTCCGGCTCTTACGGGCCGTGTTGTTGACAACACATTGTTAATTTTTATCCGAAACTTCCTTCCTTATAGAAAAGATCATCACAGGGTGTAGATTTTTCTTTCGATTTTTTAAAGCCGATGAGTTGAGAAGTACACGACTTAGATTTGTTTTTATATTTTTCTGATAACTATTATGAGTCGGAAAATCCCTCGTTTCCGGTTTGACGTTGACTTCGTATCGGAAATAAATCGCGTAAAAATCAATAACAGTTAATTTCATGAAAAGTTAATAAAACAATGAATCCCAATCAGTTATATCAAGTATTATGTACTAGTAAAACATATCAACTTCTAGGCAGAACCTTAGATAGATCTTACTCAGATTTTTTCTTTTCCAATGCTTTTGTTTGTCCATTTTTCTCGCAGAAAACTACAGAAGGAAAAAGATTGATCCAATCCAGGTAATTGGTGTCTACTCTAAAAACTGCCTTTTGATTATTATAATTTTCTATAGAATGTGTAATCACATGATATGTTCCTCCCTAAAGGTAAAATATACAAGGTATTAAAAAAGTATCTGGTCATATATCTAGGGGTAATTTCATGTGTTATTCTTAACGAAATGTTCATATAAACATATGTCCAGTATTACGGTCTCGCTTTCAAGATAGTGTGTCAAACTTTTAACAAAAAACGATTTTTGTTGAAAATCTCAACAAATTAGTTGAAATCCGATATGCACATATGAAACACCAAGTTATTAAATGAAGTTAAGTAAAAAGCGCCTGATTAAAATCGCACATGCTACAGATTTTCCAAAAGGTAAAATTTATCGAATTTAAGTCCAGCGTTTTAGGCTGCGATGACTATCTGTGGTTTTAGGAAAGCGCGTCTCTCGTTTGATCTCACCCAGATTTTCTTTGTTCACACTAAGTTTCAGAAAATATCAACAAAGTGTTACTGATATTCTCACGCAAAAGCACTTTTGAAAACGCGAACACCATGTTTATATGAACTATGTCGTCTCAGAAGAGAAATTATCCCTTAAAGGTACGCTATTGACGTCCTGTATAGTTGGTATACTTCGAACTTATAAAATCATCTGGACCGATAGTATAAAACTCACACACAGTGGGCATTGTTTTTTTTTTGTATAATTTAAAGATTTCACCTCACGTTCTACGTATAAGCTCATGCTTCACGTAACATAAATCAAAAACGTTAGGTATTCCTGCAGCGAAAAACATAACGAATTTTCACTAGCATAAATATATCAAACTCTAGAATATAAAAAATTACTTTACCGCGCAGATTGTGATAATTATCAACCAAAAAATCCTTTCTGTCCAATGCAGTTTTTCATTGACGAGATAGTGTAAGCAGGAAACGTGAGCATTTTCAAAATATTCTTTCCAAATCGACATCCTGCACCAGTATGCAGCAAGAACGATCGTTGTCGCCAGAAATTACGCATTTTTAATAAATTATATAAAATGAAAGGATTGGGTCTTGTTAAATGAATATTTAATTAGATATAGTTGCAACACGATATCATTATCGATTTTCATGCGTCATACGCTTTAATTTCAAAATAGTACAGCTTTTGGAATATGATTTTGGAGGTATCACGCACTATCGCACTATTACTAATGCTTCATGAGCCTCTGTAGGGACCTAAAAGGCTTTTTAGATATTATAAGCCACGAAACTTAGGCCAAGAAATGGGAGGTTTTGTATAAGGAAATCCTACAATTTTTGCAACAATAATTATTTTTTAAACGCGTTTGATCGAAAATCTCGAAAACCATCGATTAAAAAACGTAAAAAAAACAATTTTGTAGGGAATCAAATTCGTTATCATCGTTTCTATAAAATTTGGTCGAATAGTCATCAGATTAGGATACATTAAAGGGTAAAGGTAAATGTTATAGTGGTTACGCAACGTCGCCATAAAGAATTCTGAGACAGATATTAGTTACAAACTTGTACAATAGGGAGATTAAACGGATCAAGTCAGTCAAACAGATCCATGCAATTAACCCATAGGCATAGTTACCGTCCATCTGACAACGTCGCCACCACCCATATCGTCAGAAGCGGTAGCACCCACCAAGACACCGCCGCAGTACGAACAGAACATTCCAGCAGAACGTTGCGCCGGGCACTGAGTCCACATAGCTGAAGGAGACACAAATCGAAATCATTTCTCTACCATTTCAAAGACAAGTGTACGGGGAAACCTTTGATGTGTGGATGTCTGAAATATGCCTAATAGGAGCAAATAAGTCATGGGTCAGCAATTCATGTATGTCTGTCTCAAAGTCTGTTGTAGATGGACAGTGAAATGTTGATAGAGCGATTCTGATAATCTATTGCACATGATAGTTTCAGTGAATGAACCTTTCTGCTATCCCCCACTGTGGCGGCGAATCCTACTCCTTGCCGACTGTGCACCTCTTCTTTGGCTAGAGCAAGGTACGTTATGTCACAAAAAACATATAAAATATAAAAAAAGACAAAATGTCACTTTTCAAGATACGTAATACCTTTGTCGACCTACCCAAGAGACTATCTTTAATCGAAACTGCAGATACGGAAGATTTTTTTAAATTTATTTCAGTAGTAGGCGGTTAAACTATGCAAATCATTTTCGCATTCGTTTGTAACAATTGAAAATCTTCAAACCTCTCAATGCAAAAATTCCATTTTCATCTGTTATTGTAATCGAACTAAGGTATATGTATTATATTGACGTAATCTCGGGTACCTACTGACTTCGAATACTGCCATCGAAAAATGTCAAAATGTCCAATTTGCTGTAGCAAAATATGACATCAGGTTCGTGATCTATGGTCATCTGTTACCCTAAGTAGGGATTTTGATCGACATCGCATATACACGAGAATTTTCGAAATATTTTTCTCAACATACCAATCTTGGAGTGTTTAATTAGCACAAAATATATTGAGCGCTCCCTATATAAGGATCAAATTTCAAATTACTAGGGAGTTCAGTTTCTTTTCAGTTTGACTGTTGGTTAACCTGTAGATAACGCGCAACCGCATTTGGCGGTATGCTTGACTTTTTTGAGGTGCTAAAAAATTATGGAAGCTGTCAGTTATTATAAAATTACCTAAAAAGGTCATTTTCTCATCCGAAATAAGAAGCATTGTTAATTAGCTCCCCACAGCTTGATCTTATGGTAAGGATCACAGTAAATTCTCTAAACTATAGCAATATTCGTATATAATGCTGCCAGTCAAAATAACCTCCTATTAATGCAGCCTTTTTTACGGCAATAACGTTTGTTTTTTAGGTATTTTAAGTAATTAGTCGCTAATTTGGCTAAAAAATGGAACTGGAGTCGCAAGTAATAGTTGAGAATAGCATCATGTTTTCCGAAACGATGTTTTACGATATTCTTGCTCAGACAAATTATCCAATAATACATTACAAGAACCCTGAAAGTGACGAAATGAATTTACTCAATAACAATATGAACAAATCGGACGTTGAAGTAATCAGTCAATCTATGGAGCACATGATCAAGATCCCATTGGGTATGATTCCAGTACATTTTTTCTGCAAGGTCCCATTTACCAATAGACAGGGCTGAACCAATGCCTGAATGGCCCCAGAGGGCAGAGCAAAAATCAAGATTTTGCCTTGCCATTGGCAAGAATTATGGGGATGACATAATGATTCTTGAAACCAAATTCATTTTATTGCTCTAGCCTTGATTGTCAGTAAATTCATATTGTATAATTCTTATGTCTCTGGAACTGAGGGAACAATCATTAATGCATATTTATACAGTAATAATAATTATACAATAGTCATAATATATCCCCAGATCAGCAGGATAAATCAAAAATATGATTGTATGCTTATAGATATTGCAGGTAGAGCAAAGTTTACTAATAAAACAACACTGTGTTTTTAACCTACTGTAATCCAGTGTCAGCTTTTTTTGTACTTTACTAATATATTGCTATTATTTTTGTTGACATTGGTAGCCACTCTTTTTGTAGGAACTATGCATTTCAGTCATACTGCATATATGCAGGTCTGCTCACGGTTTTTAGCTCAACATAGTAAAACTACAGGAAATTACTTCCATACAACCTCCATGTGTGTACATTTATTTATTTAAGTTCAAAGGCATATGTTTTTTTTTGTTTTGTCTCATCATCTTGATCATTTTCTCATCAGTATACGAGTCTCCCACATATATGCTTGACAACTTGCTTGTCATGGGCTTGCAATTTCAATTTAGTTTTTGCCCTCCTATCTGATTCATGAGCATGTGCAAAAGCTAGTAGCAGCCTCATTAAGGACTGACTTGCAAAGTATAGAATTTGTTTACTAATTTTGGTTGAAATTCTGATGTAACTGCCAAAAACCGTGAAAAGAACTGTAATTTTCTGTTTGCTTCTTTGCACTGGCAGATTATAATAAGTTGGTATTAGAAGTAGAAAAAAATGCTTAGACAAATCCTCAAGGTTGTTTTTTGTGGATACAACTTATCTGTTCAGAATCTACTGAGGCTGGCATCATAAGATCAACATAATAATCCAGTTTTGCCAAATTTTTAGCAATATTGATTAAAGAAAGATTTAATGTTGATATGCTAGTCTGGCAAAATGTTCAAAATGAATATGCTTATTTCAAAATTGATTTACCCCTAATAGGACTCAAATATTAATATTTTTAAACTAAAACCCTCAGAATGTTTCAAAGAATTGTTTAACATTAAAAGTTACCAAAAATGATGAAATAGGTATTTATTTATTGGTCAAGATTAATCAATGTTGACCACCTTATTTTTGTATAGGTATGATTCCCCCACCACCTCCTCACAAAATGGTCAATTATAGTGGCAACAACAATAATAACAATGTAGTGAAACAATATAGACAACCCAAAGATAACAGTAGGCCTGGAGACCATTACAGGCCCATTTCTCCAAGGTGTGATAGTGATGAAAGCTGTGCTTCTTACACATCAACAGGGGCTGCATCTGATAGTGGTAAGATTTATTTGGTATTAATGTAGACTGAATATACAATTATCTCATCTATCAAATGTATCTCGGCCATATAATGCATAAGCAGTCTTTTTTAAAAAACAGTTTTAATACTTTGAAATGGCAGCACTTTCTGCTTTTTTTTTCAATAAAACTTGAGTTAACCCAAAAAGTTGTGTCAACTCCAAAACTCCTATACTGGAGGTGGTAAGCTTAGTGACAGGATAACATGTTAGGTGCTAAGTGGGATGCCATAGGATATCAAGTAGCTACTTAGGATGCTAGGTAGCAAGCTAAGCTGCTATAAAAATAACGCAAATTTTGAGATACAATCACAGTGCTAAGCTTGCTTCTTAGCGTGTGATGTGAATGTCTCCCATTTGTTTATTGGACTGTATAAATATTATTAAGGTCAAGATTGACTGCATCAAATGTTGTATATCTGCTCCACTATGAGCTGCTATTGTCTGAAATAGATTGGCACCTAAATAAACCAATTATGATGTTGATCGCAGATCTGAATTTCAATAATTATTTTCAAGGTGTCAGATACAGTAGGTGCGGCAAAGTAGGCGAGCAAGCTGTCATTTTCGGCAACAAATTTAGCCACAGCTCGCCGAACGTTTATGCCTCACAGTACCATCAAAGTCCACATGGACAATACTACAAGAATAGGTAAACTCTAGGTGTTCTTTGTGGTTTGGTAGTTTGCTGTGGCGTTTTATTTATTTATTTTTTTTTTCGTTATTATCGTTTTCTTATTTTGCTTTGCATTTTTTCCTGTTTGTGGCGTTCTAATTTTGCTTCTGTTATCATTATTTGGTTTTTCTTTGTTTTGTTTTCCTTATAGAGGAATAAGCTTTTTCTATGTACGTATATGAACTCGTTGTGTGTAGTATTTTTTGGCTACTAGAAAACTGACATGAAATCAGAAAGATATATGAGGGGTTTAACTGTAAAACTCGCATTCTCCAATCCCTGGATCCCTATTTTGAAAGTTATGTGTCTATAACTTTGACAGTGTTAAGTTGTCATATTCAGAATAGGGGATGAAAAATTTATAATTTATATTTCCAAAAGAAGCAAACAGTACTTACAATCTAGAATAAATATCTCAATACTGTACAGGGTGATTCACAAGTAGTGTCCAAAAATGAAACATCATACACAGGACCGCATTCAAGGGGGTCTTCTATGTAACTAAATTCATTATCAGCGACCCTTAAAATATACATAACACAAGAGAGAGGAATTAAACATTATTTGCAACCATGTCAATCATATTGATTCCACACATTTTGATTCAGGAAAAATCGATGTCTAATTCACTTCTAGCGACCTCAAAAACATAGAAAACCCCAATTTGAGTGTAATTCAAAGATTTTTTGCAAACATGTCGATAATGGATCTGCCATTTTGATTTTTGACAAATGGATATCATATTCGCTATCAGTGACCACGACAACGTGTCGATGGCATTTTTTTATTTTCAATTTAGTAAATCTAGTTTTGGCCATGTTTTAGGAATTTTGGACAATTGTGAGTAAACCTTAAACGAGAAAGCCTCATACGTTTTTTATCAACGATTTTTGATTATAATTTAGTCTTGAACGCTTTCAAGAGGTACAGAAGTTTTTTTCAGTCTCTGTGACTTCTTATAGAATGGACATAACTTTTGCAATTAGACCCCTCGTGTGTGGGTAATTTATAAGTATGGATTTTTCTTTGAAGCATACCTGCCACTACACTGATTTATTGCATAATGAACAATGGGGAAAAAAACATAACTTGCAGTCTTAACCATATGTATTGTAACTATGTATTTGTATTCCATGGATTAACTTTTTTTATATGACAGCCCTAATTTTGGAGGATTTCCTTAAATTGAAAACGCTGGGTTAAAAATACTGATCATTTCTACGCTATTTTGAAATTCAGATTCAATTGTTCTAGAGTTCTACATAATAACCATATACATACATTGATAAAGGGTAATTTGGTGATCTCCACATATTGAGGTATTTTACATTTTTTTTTTCATTATTTGAATGTGTAATGTATGTCCTGCAGGAATAGTGTTTAATCCTTAATTTGGTCTCTGGCTTGATATTTATGTAACATGATTTTAAAATAGAATTGTTGATTTTTTTGATATTAAGATAATAACTATAAATATACGCCATTGATTCTGTTCATTTTCATATCAATCTTTATTCCTTTACTATGTTAAGTCCCTCAACCTTTTTTAAACTTTCTAGTGTCGTCTTAGAAGCTTAGAGGTGGTTACCATCCTCTCCTAAGACTGATTCAATATCTAATTCTATAGTGCAACAATTACATGTAGGATTTATTCAGTATTCAGATAGTAGAACATAAAATCAAGATTTGCAGAATTGCTCTATTAAATTACAAGTAGGAACAGAACATTTACCTATTTTTCATATTCATTTCAAAGTGCAATCTATTTTGAGTGACAAACAGTTAGAGGTACATCTTATAGTAGATCATAATCACACTATCTCTCATATCAATTTTCTATATACAGTACAATACAACACCAACAATTTGACTTTGAGAAATCCATAATTCATTACATCTTAATCTTGGAAAATCACCAACAAGTCATTAAATGTTTCAAAATGACATTGTAACAATTTAAATAAATTAACTATATCATAAAATACATCTATCCATCTAATATTTCCTTTTCAACATCAGGCAGTTTGAAATGATGCTCCACAATTTCCAATGCTTCCCACTCAGCTTTGAATGGGATTTTTGGATCTGCTGGCATACCAGATGCTGCACCAGTCATCTGCATTTGCTCTTGCATCTGCCTACTTTGATCAGCAGCATTGTTTTCACCTAACACAAGGGCATAGATGCTTCTCAGACCAAACACATTGAGGAAATACCAGGATGCTGATGACACCCAACTTGCATCTAGATGTGAGAGTTCTATCCCTCTTTGTAACATTGATTTGAAACGTAATGTGAGGGGAAATGGTACTTTGGTGGTTATGAATCCAGAGAACATCCAGTTGATCCATCCTCCAATAACGATCATGGGTAGGACATTGGTGATGTTTCCTTTGAGCATGTCTGTCATCATAGAAGGGTCAGTCATCATGTTCTGGGTGACAGGGGGCCTCTTTTGCAAGAGATAACCATCTTCTTTGTTGAAAGCTTGCTTCCGCATCAGGAATGAATTTTTCGGGATGTAGCTGCAGTTTTCTCTGAGCACACGAGCTCTGATTATCAGTTGAGAGTCGGCTAGTTGTTGTAACTCGACTTTCTTTTGGCTGGATAACAGGATGGAGGCATAGTGTCTCAATATTCCCACTAAAAATGTGATCACTACGATTGGGAGAAACACCCAGGAACGGATTTGTGGATCTACAATCAGATCTGTACTCATTTTGAACGATTTTCCAACTGTTTAAAAGATTTTGAGACTAGTTTTGAGCGCTAAAATTGCTGCATGTTTTTGGAAAATACATAAAATGACAGTTAGGAAAAATCGATAACCTAGAAATTTGACGTAATGAAACGTCAGGTGCGGCACTAGAACTGGGAACGGTGTGTGGTGAAGGTTGATGTTCTATGATTCGTCGGAAACGTATAAGGGGAGATCAATAATTTTTAGGAATGTACACAAATTTCATTTGAGAAGTATATTCACTTGCTCCGGAATTGTAATGTTTTTTCTTTTTGACTGGTCAATCACAGTAAATCCTTAAAAGGTGAATGAATCTAAGACAAAAAAATATTTTATTCATGTTTCTTACTTGAATATTTTAGTGTGCCTGATAATAGATAATTCCGTTTTTTATTACAAAATTTTCAAGATATTAAACTACTTTAATTTCAAATTTTTGGATGCCTTAAAAGTGATACGGCCTGTTGGCGGCTGTTACTACCTGCATCACCATTGGTGATACCATGCTGTAGGTATATCTTTTCATGGATTCTTAACTCTTAAAACTTGTGCTAGTATCGCTGATTTATCTCCCATCTTCTACTGGCCGTCAAATGTACTTCCTACAGTTGTAGATTGGGAAAATGACCACCTCGGTGGCCTTCCAGGATCTTCTCAATTAGTTACTCCATAATAGAGGACGTTCAAAACAATATAGGACCCAGTGTTGATCCTTCTGTTACTGGAAGCCTGAATTTAGAGGGAGTGCTTGTTCTTTCATCAAAATTTGTGCAGTATTGGCCACAATCATCGTATTGATCACCCCGATCGCACCACTTTGTACTTCGTTCTATTCCAGTACTCCTCATTTTTAATTTATGAGAAAAGGTTTTGTATCTTATAAATCTATATCCATCAGCCATTTCCGCTCGAAATGTAATGCTCTAGAAAATTCGGCACCAAAATTCATCGGTCCTCGCCTTATGGCAGTGCACGATGCATTTCGTTATGGTGGGTACTAAAGGGTGTCCCAAAATTAACGCAAGATTTGAATTAAATAGAAAATGCCATTTTTAGTCTTTTAATAGTTATATTTTTATTGACTCATAAAGTACATAGGATAGGGTTATGTATGGAATAACACATCGGACAAATGGCCTCCACGGCTTTGCATGCACATGCGCACTCTTTTGTCGAAATTTTCCATGACCCTTCTGCATAAATGTGGCTGAATTTCGTTGATGCAGCGTTGAATCTCCTCCTTTAATGCACGGGTGGTTGTGGGCTTGTTGACATAGACTTGTGATTTCAAATAACCCCATAAAAAGAAGTCTAATGGTGTTAAATCACACGATCTAGGAGGCCAATTTTGATCACCGAAACGAGAGAGTACACGACCGGGAAATGTCTCATGCAGTAATTGAATTGTTTCACGGGCTGTATGACATGTGGCACCGTCTTGTTGAAACCACATATTGGGTACATCAATATCATTCAATTTTGGCAGAAAGAACTGTGTAATCATGTCGCGATATCGAGCACCAGTAACAGTCACTGCTTGACCAGCATCATTTTCAAAAAAATATGGCCCAATTATGCCTCCAGCCCAAAATCCACACCAGACAGTCACGCGTTGTGGGTGCATTTCTTTTTCGACAATCACACGTGGGTTCTCCGAACCCCAAATGCGGCAATTTTGGCGATTGACAAAGCCATCAAGATGAAAATGTGCTTCATCGCTTAGGATGATTTTGCTTGAAAAATCAGGGTCCATTTGTTGATGTTCAATAATCCATTCAACAAACTCTCTTCTCTCTGCATGGTCATTAAGCTTCAATTGTTGTGTTAATTGAAGTTTGTAAGCATGAAGACACAGATCTTTGGTGAGTATACGCTGTAGAGAGGTTCTTGACATTTGCAATTCTTGTCCACGACGTCGAATTGAGGTTCCTGGACTGTCCGCAACACTCTCACGCACTGCTTCGATATTCACATTTGAACGGCTTGTTTTTGGACGACCAGTGTGTTTGGCGTCTCCAACGGATCCAGTCTCCATGAATTTTTCAATTAATCTCTTCACAGTTGACGAAGTTAAAACACTATTCCGGCCATATTTTGTATGAAATTTTCGAACTGCAGCCGCCAAGCTTTCACTATTTTTGAAATATTCTTTAATAATGAAGACACGTTGTTCTATCGTGTAACGCTCCATTTTTCATAACCCTATACTGTTAGCTGTCAAATTGCTTTTTTTCAGGGTTGCCAACACTTCACTGCACAAATGGCGGCAAATTCAAATCTTGCGTTAATTTTGGGACACCCTTTATATACTTCTCTACATGCAAGATCAGGCGAGTATGCTGGATCAACAATCCAATAACTTTTGACGAGTGAGCAAACTTGTGTGCGGTCTCGCGTTGTCATGGTGGAACACAACTCCTTTGCGATTAATGAGCTCCGGACGTTTTTGCATGATGGATTGTTGCAAACTGTCCAATTGCCCACAATACACAGTTGTATCGATGGTTTGGTTCTTTGGCAGGAGTTCGAAAAACACGATCCCTTTAAAATCCCACCAAACAGAGATCATCACCTTTTCCTGATGACTCTCTGCTTTCGCGATCGTGTTACGCGTATCTACACTTCGGGACCAAGACCGTTTGCGAACCACATTGTTGTAAACAATCCACTTTTCATCTCCCGTTATCAAGCGCTTTAAGAAAGGATCGTTTTCCTCACGTTTAAGGAGCATATCGCAGATGTCTACACGCGCCGTCAAATGAACCTCTCTCAGTTCGTGTGGTACCCAACGATCGAGTTTGCTTACGTATCCCAGTTTCTTCAAATGTTCGTGAACGGTTGAATGATGGATTTTTAAGGTTTCTGCAATTTCCCGTGTGGTGTAATGTGGGTTTGCTCCTACCAATGCCTTTAATTCGTCACTATCCAACTCAGTGGGCCGCCCTGATCGAGGTGCGTCATGGATATCAAAATCCCCATCTCGGAATTTTTTAAACCATCTCTGGCATTGCCGTTCTTGTAGTGCATGTTCTCCATAAACCTTTCTCAACTTTTCACACGCTTGCCTTGCGTTCTTGCCTTTGCGGAAGTAATACAGCAAAATGTGACGAAAATGCACAGTTTGGTCGAACATCTTCAACGTCCTCTAAAATCGACGAGACTCAAATAAATCACTTAATTTTTTGGTGCAAATGAAGCTTGAAGTGTCAACTGTCAAACTACACAATCAACATACAAATGTCATTGACTCACGTACTTCCAACCATGCAATTGCATACTTTGTTGCATATACGTCATGACTTTTCCGACAACCAATATAATGTCAAAACATCTTGCACACTTACAAGCTTTTATTTTTTGACACTAAAACACATGCTAATGGCAGTTATGTCCAATTTTGCTCCCGATAAGCGGAGCTAGCATGGTTAAACTGTCAAAATTAGATGGGAAAAAGATAGATTTTATAGACAGATGACCCCCTTTTCACGATACCATCACGGTTTAATGATCATTAACGAGAACAGCTGATCAGAAATTGACATATTTGTCTGTTTATAACTTGAGACATGACCTCCAACCTAACCAGCTCCATCTACCTTTAGATGACCTCATTTTCTGCTACCTAAGTACAAACCTTAAGCGATTCCCCAGGTACTTCACATCTCAGCAACACCAGCAGATGGTCACCTCGCCCCACCATCAGCAGCATCACCAGAACAATAACAACCAGCAACAACAACATCACGCGCAGGCGCAGCAAAGACAGAACAACAGATCACATCATCACCATTCAAATCATCACCACCATTATCACCATGCAAATAACAATGGTCACGCGCACAGGGATAAAACTGACGTTATGTTACGCAGGGCCCACGGTTTGGTAGAACGGTTTCGGTGAGTAGTTCCATATGATATATTATTTATTCACCATTTATGTACAATCATACATGTAAGATCTTACTCGCTATTTATAGAGTTGATATATTACTAAAGTGCGTCTTGAAAATAGATGTTTCTTTTGTTAGGTCTCGAGCCGAGTTGATGCGTATTGATCCGTGTCCCCCGAAACTGTTAGATGGAGGCCCTTGGGACCAATTGAGCCAAGCTGTTTGGGATGTATTCGCCAGCAAAGCTCAGAACGAAAAAACATATGAAACGAAAATTGCGCTGTGGAAGAATATATTTTTGTATATCAGGGTAAGTTATTACACGACTACCTCATAGGGAGGGCTGTGTTTTTCGCGCATGTGTATGTATGTATGTATGCATGCCCTGAAAACCAAATACCCCTGGCGTCGACATCTGTACGAGAGAGAAGCGCTAGAAGCGTGCAATACGTGTTTTAGAGATAGAAACGCCTCGTTGCTTAGCAACCCTAGTACGAGGTCACGGATGCCATCGGCGCACTTTTTCTAACATGCATAATGCACGGTTCTCGCGCTTCTCTTTCGTACACATTACGACCCCGCCATATGAACGAGAATAATTCTATTTCACGGACTACAGTCCAAACGGCCTGATGGATTTTGGACACTGGGTACACTAAAATTTTATAAAATCTAAATGGCGAGTTTCAAACACAAACTCCAAATTTGAAACTTCTATTTCACGGTCTACAACCTAAACAGCAGATGGATTTTTAGTTCTATGTTTTTTTTAACGATTATGTTTTTGTTTCAGAAATATTTGAGTAATTATGGCCTGTTCATGGTGGGATCAACGATGTCCGGTTTTGGATTGGATAACAGTGACATCGATATGTGCTTGCTCACGAAACCTCTGATACATGATCCACGCATCGATTCATTGCAGCATCTGAACTCGATCAAGACATTATTAATAAAATACGGTAGGTAGTACTATCTATTGTAATAGCAAATGCTAGTAGTGTGAAAGTCGTTTATAAAATGTTCTGATACTTGGAGAAAAGGTAAAGAATGTTTTCTTTAAGCACTCCTCAAAGTGCCAAGAGGTCCAAGCGCGTTCAGAATTTACCGATTATGTCACTACTTTCAACCACCTTCGTGCTAGAGTTTGCCGTTTTTATAAAATTTTCGCCTAACGATTGGATTAACAAATGGTTATGATTGTGCAGGTTTGAGTGTGGATCCAGAAGTAATCCTAGCCAAAGTACCCATTTTGAAGTTCAAGGACAAAGAGACAGGATTCGAGATCGACCTCAACTGCAACAACTCTGTAGGCATCCGGAACACCCACATGTTGCACTGCTATGCGCGACTGGATTGGCGCGTACGTCCCCTGGTAGTGGCTATTAAATTGTGGGCCCAGAGCAACGCTATCAACGATGCTAAGAACATGACTGTTTCCAGCTATTCGTGGGCGTTGATGGTCATACATTTCTTGCAGTGTAAGTTTCAAATCATTGGATATTACCTGATTTCTAAAATCATAAATGACTACAAATAAGACCAATAATATTTTCGCACAATAACGAAGTTTTATCTGCTCTAGTGCCGCTTGAGGCGTATTAGAAAGCGGAGGTTGTAATTTTTTCATTTTTACATTAATAAAAATTGTTAAATTGAGAAGTCTGTTTGAGACAAGATTTCATGATATGCCCTACTTATTTTAGCATAAGTACATAGTAAGTTTTCGACTGAATTTGAGTATTTTAAGCGAATCGCGTAATGTTTTTATTCTCAATGAATTGATGAGACCTTGCTTGGGAGGTACAGAGTCAATCTACTTTACGTCATTTTTTCATATTGAGATGATACCTTTATTCAGTTTTGTACTTTGAACTATCCATTTCCAGGCTCATTTGGCTTCCCTATGCATTACAGGTGGTGTTACGCCTCCCGTTCTACCCTGTCTGCACGGCATGATGCCAGAAAAGTTCAATTCGGAAATCGAAAATCACACAATGGATGTTCAAGAAGAAATAGCATCGACGAAGAACTTCACATCGGACAATTCTATGAGTTTAGGAGAGTTGTTGACTGGATTTTTGCAGTACTATTCCACCTTTAATTACAAGTAAGTGCACATTTCGTACAAGGCCGTTTAACTATTTCTATATCTGATAATACGATTTCCAGAAATAAGGAACTATTAAGTTATTAATGACTGTTTTCCAAACTATGTCGAATATGCTGCTAAGTTGATTATGATTCTTTTACTTCCCACGCCCACTGGCGGCGAAGTATTGTAATCGAGAAATTTTTCAAAAATGTGATTATCTTTTTTGGGTGTATTATGACATGTACATCACCAAAAACTACACCTTTTATTTCCGTCTCTTTGTATAACCACATATCACTTGATAAGTACCTCTCGTATTTTGGTGAAATTTTTCCACCATGTTACTACTAAGCCAAAGACGAAAAAGCTGTGTGGTTTCTCAAAAAATCGGTCAAGTGGCGGCAGAGCAAAAGGCCACAAAATTAAAAGAAAGCGCTCAACCTGTTTTTTGAGGTTTCAGAGGATCCTGATCATTTTTGAAAAAAAATATAGGTAACAAATTTCGTTGTGGTGGTTGTAGGGGGGTGGGGAGGGTATATCATTTTTTGAGTTTAGTATATTTATACGCACCCAACTTGGTAATGCTATGCACCTATTAGACATATTTCACACATAATCGATTTTCCCTTACACTAACACTTAAAACTTGGAAAAATATTCTCAGCAGACGAATCGCGTGAAGTTTGTGATACATAATGGACATAGTCCTTTATGAACCTATATTCTGTCTTTTTTTCAGTGAATATGCAATATCGGTCCGCACTGGTTGTCGTCTGCCTATAGACGAATGCCGTTTCCAGAAAGCTCCAAAGAATGATCCACATCAATGGAAATATCTGTGCATAGAAGAGCCTTTCGACTTCACAAATACGGCAAGATCTGTTTACGATCTAGATGTTTTCAGGTAATTGCAAATTACAGAAGATCTTATTATCTGATCCGGGAGATCCGTGCGTTTAAGTTTATTGGTAACATTCTTCCAGAAACGAATGGCAAGGGTAGTAATAGTAGTTTTTTGAATGAAGTGAGACTTGTGTACTTGTTTATTTGGTTTCAAATTATGGAATAAAGTATGTAGAATACCCTCATATATTACAAATAAGTACAAATCTGGCGTCAACATATCGCTAAAAAGATCTTCTTATGAAGAAGATTTCATCTAGAATAATTCCTTTGTTCGATAATAAAAATTGCAAAGTGCATTTCTAAAGAGTGCTTCTGTTCCCAAAGAGATGTGTACGTTTCCAATAAACCGTCTGCATTTTCTTTGGCTTTATCTGGATTCCACTAGCTGTTTCCTCTGTCATTTCTAAAATATTAAGAAGATAATATGTTAACGATACTTTGTTTGAATAGTTTTTTAAACATTTGAGTCGTATCATCTTTACTTTGGAACTCTCTTCATAAAATTATGTGCCTCTTTTACCTAGAACACCAGCACTTCTCGAATGATCACTAGCATTGGCTGCGTTCACTAGAACTTAACAGTGCTGTGTAGAGCATGATTTAGCTCGGAAGCTAAATTTCATCTAAATGGGCTGACAATCGAGGATATATTACTAGCCCAACATAATTCTGATACAGCTGCTGAGTGCTAGTGAATGTAACCATTGACGTTTTGAGATCAGAATGAAAATGTGTTACGTCCTCATATAACTGGAACTCTGAATATCAGTGATTCGATGAAAGATCCAGAACGCTCGAGAGCCGCCGACTCACGCACATATACGAGCATGGATGACAGTAGGGGGCAGTCTTGCCAAACCTACCTATTTTTCAGTATTTCTACCGAAATGAGACCTGATTTACCGAAATACCGAAAACATCCTCATTTTCTACGAATTTTATTTTAAGTGAATATTAAATCAAAATGTCAGATGATGAGGTTTCAAGTTCAGCGGTAAAACAGGAAAATATTCAAAAATCTTATAAACAAGAATGATTGCAAGAGAGTTTGAAGAGTGACAAGTATGCTCATTGTACAAGTTACACTAAAGAAGTCTATTTCCCAGGATAAGATGCTCCCTAAACATCTGTGTTGTGTGTACGGGCACAATACAAAAATATCCTTTTTCTTTCATAGGCGGCGCTGCGTATCGCTAAGGCCTTTGATTGCGACTGCTACAATTGTTTCCTTGAATCCACACAATTTCAACGACAATTTATACCTATTTCGTCTTTTTCTGTTCGGCAACACTGGTCAGTCAGTGGATAACGAGCGCGGAATCAAGATTGATTAATAGTCCACTTGACATAGTTGTAAATTTGTTATTAATTAGTTGGAAGTGCGGGTATAAATAAGTGTAAAAGTAATAAATTAGACTTTGAACAGTAAAGACGGTGTTTTCGTTAGAGTAGTAAGTTCAATGTCAGTGATTAGTCACAGAGTGTAATGATCTTAAATTTAATTTTCTTTATATTATAGCTTTACCTTCAGGTTCTATTATGATATCTTCTAAGAGCTCATCAGTATCATCGTCATCATTTTCATCTCGGTATTTCCCACATTCTTCACTGTCTAGGTTTTTGTCTGCTGTCGCTTTTGTTGTTCTTTCTGCATTATTCCGATTTTCATTATCGGCTTTGAATTCATCTGTTTTACCTTTAGTACCCAATGAACGAAATTTAAATTAGATTATAATATTAGCTTAACCTACAGGGTGCCACCATTTTGAAAATATTTTAGCCGAATTATTCTCATCGGTTATAATAAAAACAAATTTTCATAACTGCCTCACGTCAACTTTTTGAATATTCGATCTACGTGGACACTCTGTATAGTAGCACTACAGTTTATACAGCAACTATTTTTTGTAGGTTACCTTTATATTGCTTCTTGAGACTTTTTTCTGCCTGGTCATCTTCATCAGCACGGTTTTTATTATGTCTTTTCTTTCCAATATTTTTGGCATTGTTCCGATGTTTCTTATCCACCTTAAATTCCACAAAGTTAAATGACATATAGGTAATCGGGAGCGTGCAGCTAGACAAAACATTACTTAAAAAACTGGAGATAATTCACAAAACTAAGTTAGTTCGAAGACTACAGACACAATTTTTAATACAGCATAAAATGGCAGAAGTCGCACGGTTTGAAACCTTCTATACAATCCATCTTTATAAGACTCTGGTTCTTTACATCCCTGGTCGTGTGGTTATATGCAAAATTACCACCAGACCACATATACTGTATATTTTTATTGAAAGGTCACTCACCCCGATTTTTCCATTTTGATTTTCCTCTAATAAACCGCTTAAAATAAGCTGTCTATTTTCATCTGCATTGGCATTATTCATTTTATCTTCTACATTATCTGCTTCTTTTTTGCCTTCATTTGCAGGTTCACCTTCTTTTTCGTCTTTATCACCTTCGTTATCCTTATCTTCCTCGGCTGCCTGCTCTTCTTTTTTGCCTTCACTTGCACGTTCACTTACTTCTTTGTCTTTCTCATCTTTGTTATTTGTATAGTCCTCGGCTGCCTTCTCTTCTTTTTTGCCTTCACTTGCAGGTTCACTTACTTTTTTGCGTTTCTCGTCTTTGTTATTTTTATCTTCCTCAGCTGCCTCCTTTTTTTCTTTGACTTCATTTTCAGGTTTATCTTTTTTGTCTGTCTGACCTTCGTTGTCTTTATCTTCCTCGGCTTTCTTCAAAAAAATATTATTTAACATAGATAAAGCTAAAATGTTGTCATGCTGTCATCAATAGTAGTCAATATTTCAGGATGTCGGATCAAAATATAATTATTGCTAACAGCTCTGTGGTGCAACATTGAAACGATGCTAATAAACTCAATTTCGCAGATTTCGGTTGATTAATAATGATCAATTATCGATTTGCCCGTCATATATTTTTATTGAAAGGTCACTTACGCCGACAGGCTGTCTATTTTCAGCGTCATTGACACTTTTTATTTTGTCTTCTGTATTCTCTTCTTCTTTTTTGCCTTCATTTGCAGGTTCACCTTCTTTTTTATCTTTCTCACTTTCTTTAACTTTGTCTTCCTCGGCTGGCTTCTCTTCTTTTTTCTTGCCTTCATTAGCAGGTTCTCTTATTTTTTTGTCTTTCTCACCTTCATTATCTTTATCTTCCTCGGCGGCCTTCTCTTCTTTTTTGCCTTCCCTTGCAGGTTCTCCTTCTTGTTTGTGTCTCTCATATTCGTCTTCATGTTCCTCGGCTGCCTTCTCTTCTTTTTTGCCTGCATTTGCAGATTCATCTTTTAAGTTTGTCTCACCTTCATCATCTTTATCTTCCTCGGCTTCCTTCAAAAACATTTTATCCAATATAGATGAAGCTATAATTTTGTTATGCTGTCATGTAAAGATTGCTAACAACTCTATCATGCAACATGCAAGTTGAAACGATGCTAATAAACTCATTTAGATAGATTTCGATTGATTAATTCATTATCATCAGTTATCAATTTCCCCATCTAAAGCAATCTTTTAGCATTTTGCGACCCATTTTCTCATAATCGTATCGCTTTCAGAGGCGCTGCTTAAACTAACCCACCTCCCTCCCCTCCCAAATGTATTTTCAATTGCCACCAACCTAGCGAGCATTTTTATTTATGTCATTAACATAACCACAGACAAGCTTTCAATCCTTCCACGATATTCATATCTCATTTTTTTTGAAGGGTCTGACCTCTGAACACCCTAACCATTTATTATTATAGAGAACATTCATTGTGCAAACGTCAACTGACACTGCAAACAGTATTGCTAGGTTAGTTGATTTTCTGTTAGTTATGAAAAACAACCATTAATTTTTATAATTTCAATGTAATGCAACGAAACTTCATGTAAAGCATTTAGCGTACATTGGTTAGTTCTTTGTAGAACTAGACTCTCTATCATGAAACAGGTTCCTAGATTTTGACTCGACACTAATTTAGCCTGTGCAATATAGATTTTGCAATTGTTGCGACTAAACGATTGGTCCGAGATTACCTCGTCTGCATTTTCATATCCTAAATCTAACGCCTCCCCTTGTCCACCGAAGGCTTCCATGGGGTCGAAAGGGTTGGGATCTTCAGTTTCCTCGTCTGACACAGATTCGAAGATTGTATCGTCACCAGGACTTCTGTAGTTTATAAAGTATGTAATCAGTTCAGATGGCGCATCTACCGTTTCTATATAATACCTGAAAATATGGTGTGTACAGGGTATCCCAACTATGCTATGACAAAAGATTTGATTTGTAAATTAATAGGTGTATATTGTATGTGGGAACGACTGACGATACGGCCCCTAATAACAATTATAATTTGAAGATCATGAGACAATGGGGGCTAACCTGAAAAGTTATAAGTAGATGGTGCTAATTTGGGTGGCGGTTATATCTAAGGTTATAAGCAGCTTATCTTTATATCAAATCTGTCAAATTCAAGCATGGGCTACAAGCTGTCGAACACGTAATGGTTTGTTTGACAGTTTGACCTCCAACCAAACCAGCGCCGCCTAACGAAGCAAAATTAGATATCACTATAACCGAAGCCCGGCTGGCCTACCAATACGATAATATATTTTTTTCACAAAGGGAACTTTGAAAAGGGTATATTTTTTATCAAAATATTATTCAGTGCTGAAACCATTATAGTCTTACCTTCCAGGTATGTGTAGCACACCAGATACTCGTATATGTATATCATTCTCATGCCCCCTTTCGACACATCGTTTTGCTGAAGCTCTTTCTGTAGGATATTTTTTACATGAAAAAAAGGAGACGTTAAGTTAGTTTATTTAGGTATTGCAAAATCATTTCATCTCGATTAACAAGTTATTGAAATTGAAGTGTCAGAAACTTCGTCATTTTTTAAATGTATGCAGTGACATGCACATAACTGTTAGTGAGGATACCCAAAAACTTTGAAGAGATCCTACTAACCTGAAAAATCACTATTATTGACCACAACTCCCCGATGAGAAGTAACGTTGGTCTCGTTAGGTAAACAATGATAATAAAAAACTACCTAGGTGAATGTTTATGACATTTAAAATTGAATTCTGACAATTTCGTTGTATCAGTTTGACAACTAAAATTTATATCACGGAATATGCAAACTATTGAGAAATAAATAATTATTTTTCTTGAATGCCTGAATAATCGGCATAATATTGGATTCGGATAACGTCTTTCCATGTTAACAGAAGGAAAATACAACCAACCAGCAATTGCACCTTACTTCTCTCCAGAAATGGCCAGTCGAGTCCGGCGGCATTAATTTTGATTTGACAACATCTAACAAGGTTTTCTAAAGTATTTGTAGAATAAATTGTGATATAGAATCGTATATTTTGTGACATGTAATGTTAGTAGTGAAAATACCTTATACATACCTCATTTGAGAAGGTCATTATTGGATAATGGCTTACTTCTCATTCTAGGTCTGTAATTTCGAAAATCGAAAAAAGATTCCGACGATCTTACGATATTTACAATTACCATTGAATCTTTCTGGTATAGTTTTGTATATTCCTCCTACATAGATGCGATGATGTGTTTGATTGCTTTCTTCAGGTTCATTAGTCTTTGTGTTATTATTGTCATCTATCGTTTTATCGCCATCATCTCCTTTTTGAGATTTTGATCCACTATCTGAATTTGATTTTGAAGGTGTTTCATATTTGGCTTCGTTACCTTTTAGAGCTATTTCAACTTTGGCTTCATCACCTTTTTGAGCTGCTTTATTTTTGTATTCATCACCTTTTAGTGTTGCTTCATCTTCGGCTTCATCACCATTTCGAACTGCTTTATTTTTGGATTCGTCACCATTCAGAGCTGCTTCAATTTTGGCTTCATCTCTTTTTTGGACTGCTTTATCTTTGGATTCATTTTTTTTTTTATATACTCCAACTACCACGAAGGCCTAAGGCCTAAGCACCCATTGGGTACCGTGGGGCTATGGGGGATACATGGGAAAGGGGGGACGCCACACGGACTCTGGCGAGGGAACACGTGTGCATGCAACATGCACACATTCTGGCTCCGCCTACGAGAACCGCCGGGTGGTACCTCCGCGTTCGACAGTCAGAGACCATCTACCACCTACGGACAATCACAACATCCATGGCCAAGAGAAACATTTCTCCTGGGACGGGACTCGAACCCGCACAGCGCACGGCGGCTGATCAGGAGACCGAAGGGTCTACTACTGCGGCCACCGCTGCTGCCTAAAACAAACACACAGCATCCATGGCGAAGGCGAGATTCGAACTCGCGGCCCGGCCGGCCGGCTGATCAGTAGCACGACACTCTGACCCACGCGGCCAACCGAGGTCCCAGAATCACCTTTTAAAGCTGTTTCATAGTTGGCTTCATCACCTTTTTGAGTTGCTCCATCTGTGACATCATCACCTATTCGAACTACTTGCTCGTTGTCCTCATCAGCTTGCCGGAGAATTCTCGTTATTTTGTTACTGCCATCAAACCGCCCTATAAAATTACAAAGTGGAATTCGGAAGCTATCCCTGTAAATGTTTCAGAGAAATTGTAGCTGTTAAATATTAAAGGACTATACTTTATGCTCTTCAATCTGACACTCGGTAGGGACATTGTGATTCTTAACATATTATCTGCTCTAGGACAATTTGAGCTTTTTATGTCAGGGGCATCGGAATAGCTCGAACCCGTGTTTGTGATGTGAAACGGCAAACGTGCACTCACTATACTCAACATGTGACAGTTATTATCTTACCTTGTGGGTGACTTGTTATTAAATATGTTGAATGGCATAGTAAAAGACAAATTGCAATTGCGAACTGCATGTTGGCCGTAGACCTTAACAAATGACCATTCCTTGAAGGCAGGATATCCAGTCATCTGAAAGATTGCTCATTATGTGAAAACTCATTAATCACTGTTGTTTTATCGAACACATATTTTTTCTATTACCGTTAATCAAAAACAAATCAATCGGAGAGGAATTTCTGCGAAAAATAAGTAAGGAAGTGACGCACAAAGATTATAGCTTAAGTGAATTTGAAGTATTTCTTTGGATTCATGTTGTACGTGTCTTGATATATACACATCGGCATAGACGTAGTCGGCACCATCGACTATCGCCTTATTTCTGATACAAAAGCCATAAACGTAGTTAATTTTATGAACGTTGTGTTTAATCACATCTATATTTTATTAAAATGGATAAACAATCGGAAGTGTGTGTACGGTGAAGAATTACAAAAGTAAACATAGTAGCAAGAACCGTTTTATTAAGTTTTAGTCATAGAAATTGGTAGTTATTATATAGAAAAAAGTTCATGACACAAAACATTCCTGTACTTTTGTGTAGTAATGTTATCTATGTATTTATATATATGACGATAAAAAGTGGCCAATATAGAGCCATAGAGAAGGTAACAACAAACAATATATTTGTGAAAGCTTCTTAGGAATGTGTGAATTTCCGAGAATCTTTGTGATTAAATTATACCTAAGGATTAGAATTTGTTACACTTGGAAAACAGTAAATAAGAATTTCAAATACATTACTAAAAATGTGTTAATTATATGGCAGCGATTAAATCTTATATATTTCATAGTGCTTATAGTAATAGAATATTTATAGTGTTGGAATAGATGACATCATTTTATTATTGACGACCGGGGTCGAACTGGTTTTTTAAAGTCTGACATGATGATACCTATTATTATATGGCAAAAATTGCGTTCTATGATTATAACCATTTTTTTTTAAGTATGTGGTTACTATCTAGTATAATGATTTTTTTTCAGGCACATTAAGAACATCATCACGAAATCATTCGACGAGTTAACCAGGACCAAAATGCTGAACAACATACTTCCTGTTAATCTAGAAGAGCAAGAGCAAAGTTGATATGCTCCAACACAAAGCAGTTCAGGGTATGAAAATGGATATTTTTAAATGAAAATGGTGTATTCAGTGTAAACTAAGTTGATTCTTCTGGGGGAACTTGTCAATTTTTAACGGTCAATATGAAATAGTCCGACTGCGTCTTAATGACAGTTTGCCACACTTCCCCTATCTATTACCTAGTTACTAAAGCAAAAATTATTACTTTATTGCTTGTTATTTCATAATAATGTACTGAAAACAAATGTGAAATTATACATACTAGGCTGTTCTCTTATATAAATTCAGGCCGAACTATTGGAATTTGCATTTATACGCGGAGTGCAATACAAACATAAATCTAATATATATTATTAATATTCACTTTTTGTATTATTGAAAAATGATTATTTTACAATTTCATATTCGTAATATTTCTTTATTATGTTTCCTATATCACTTTTGAATGATTATCTCATATTGACCTTACAATACTGGTGCTGTTTGCACTGTTTCATCCATGCGTGTATAGGGGGGAAGATAATAACATTCCATTTAAACTTGAAAGATTAAAAAAACTTGAAAAAATAAAAAGAAGAAAAATAATTTTTATACTATATTTATTAGCCATAAGTATTATCTATATTTTTCTGTTCACATTTTGCTTTCACAAAAGTTTATATTAAGTATGATAGGGGAGAAGAGATAAATAATAAAATGCATTGGAGGAGTGTATCTCTGTTAATATTATACGTGTTTGTGTTTGTCTATTTCATCGTAGATCGAGATTGAACGAAAGATAAAAAATATACTCACATCATAAATCATATTTAATATTTATAAAGCTAAGAGCGGTGTATAATTACTAAATTTTTAATTACATTTTGTCTAGAATGCCAAAAGTCAAGAGCAGATAAATCCCGTATGTATACTGTAACTGATGTTTCATAGCCAAAGATATTTTGGATATTGGTTAAAATGAAAACAAGTCTTTGTTAACCGCTCCTTTCTTCAAATTATAAAACATGTTCTCTGGGCTTTCGTAAAGATAGGATACAGTGCGTGATAATAAATTTTATTATTAAATATTATATTGGGTCTAGACTCTGGGGTCCACTGGAGGGCACTTGTTGGTGTGTTTGTCATAATATAACGTGAATCTTGAAGAACTCCAACTCGCTAAACTTTAGTTCTGAATAACCCTGTCCTTGATAAGAGAAATGATGTAGCTGTACTATGCTATTTATACACTGTATCTCATCTTGCATTCGATAAGAAAAATGACAAGCAGTTCATTTTCGGTGCTACTCGATTCATAGTCAATGCTCGATTTCGGAACGTTTCGTGAAAGAAACAATAAAACAAAAAAATATAAAAACGTCGTCGTCGAAACATTTATAAAAACCCGACGGCGACCGAAAACAGTATTAGTTTGCTTCTGTTTCTGTTATGACTACTTATATTTTGGTCAGACGGCAGATATTGTCTTTGGTTATTTGTTGTATTTGATTTGTGGGTAAAATCGTATAAATAGCAGAAAACTCATGATGGCCTGACTGTCAAAACATCATCGCATGGCGCTAAAAAGTTCTTGCTGCCATTATCGTGGAAATAAAAAAAGCACGCTGATTCACGCACATTTACTTAAATGAGTAATGTGGAAAAAATATTGGTCATATATCCTCTTCCTGAGAAAATATACGTTTGTGCTCGATTTACGTTTTGAATTTCTTGAAAAACGTATGGCTTTAAATCAGCGATTTTATTTCCAACATTGGCTTTCAAGGCTTGCAATTTTTGTCGTTTATTGCGGTAAGCAAACAAGAAAGAAGCCCGAAATAAATAATTATGCCGCCATGGAATCTAGTAATCTGTAGCAATAATTCATAACGCCGAAAAACGAGCACAAATGTGTACAGGTGGATATTTATGCGTCATTTTTTTAACTTAAATTCGTTAGTGAAACAGCCAATTTTTTCTATTTACAAGATATCGGACAGTTTATACATTATCACATTACATTTGCCTCACCTTGTAATGGGTGACTTGTTTAGAGGTACCTTTATGAAATGCATAACAAAATAAAAATAAACTGTGTCGGGTTATCTAATTATCATACAAAAAATAAATGACATTCGTTTTTTGAAAATTATTTATTCACCGCGGGCAACGTAATCCATTTTGAAATTCCAATTTTTGATGGCGCGGTTGTGCATTTGGAGCAATATTTGATGAATAACGCGAGTAAAGCGATTTCTAATAGATCAATCACAGTCTCTCATCCGTGCAGATATAGCTATGGTCGAGAAGTAGCGCCGTACCGTCTTGTTAAAACCAAATGTTCTAAAGATCAACGTCTTTCCTGTATAATAAAGATAAATTTGATTGTTTTTGTCTTCATCTTTTAGGAAAAGTACCTGTAAATAAATCACCAGTTTTCTTGCTATTCGAACGTTTTTCATCCCATTTCTGATGATACGCCATTTATGCTATCATTTCTGAGCCGTCTTGTCTAAAATTGTTTTCTCTTAACTGTGTACGCTTAAAAATTTGCGGATCGACCTCTGATACGGGGGACCGCAAAAAACTGTAAAAGATACATATCAAACAACGGGTGTGGCATGCCCCTGTATACTTTAAGCAACGATCTAAGCTAAGGTTAGTCTCAGTGGTGTTGAAAATTATATAAAATGTATATTTTTGTCGTTGCGCTTGTTAGCCGTAATATTCATAATTGGTGTTGATATAACTGGCTGTATAAAACAGAAAATACGTACTTTCGATAGAATGATATTCTTCCTACCCTTTATCAGTTACATTGTCATTTTTGTGAAGCAGTCGATACGAGATTTTTATTTCCACTGAAGCAGTTATCACAGTGATACCAATATATCATTGTATTAAGTCTCTACGAGCTTGTCTCAACTTTATTTACTGACCGATTTACAATTTCTAAAAAAAGCATTTTAACACCCATATGTAGTTGAATAGAACATCATCTCTGTCAATAGTACGCAAGGTTTTTGTCAGTTTCCTTTTTTGCTCTTGGTAAACCACAGGAAAGGAGTAAACGATTCATAGTTTGTGAAAGGTCGTGCTTCAGAGATTTCAGCTGGAGGATATAACGAAGTCGAAATTAATGTATGCATTTTGCACTTAAATCCATGTTGAGATAATAAGACGCGATATATAAAAATGGTATTTATTTCTCGTTTGTCCTTTGTGCTCCTCAAAATAACTTGCTGATATGTGTTCTGAACTGAAATCTCCATAGTTAAGCCTTCAATTGATGTATTAAGAGTTTTTCAGAAGTGCGTTTAATGAGTTATTGTAAATACAGAGTGGAACTCAAATTTTTATCTTCATAGCTCTTCCGTTGAGAAAATAAAATTGGAACTATGGAGCTTGCACCAATGTAGAGTATGTGTCAAATTGAAAGAAATTTGAACGTTTTCAACCGTTGCCGATTTAAATGAAGAAGCTATGAACCATATCATATAGAATAAAATATATTATTATCATCTTATTGAGATTCACTCTGTATATTGTATGACAAGTGTGTGAATAAAGTGTAAATAAAATTAAATCGGAATTGTGCAATACTGATTTAGAATTAAGATGGATAAAGCAAAGTAATAGTATCCTCCATTTAATATCTGTGAATTTGTGGATCACCGATTTTTTTCTCGATGTGTCTATAGTTCTTATGATATTACTTGTGATTCATAATTATAAAATGTACATATGATCTCAGAAAAGTGATTAGTGCAGATGTTTTATGTCACTAACAGAATTGCAATAATTTTTTGTCCATCTGTCTAACATCGAATATTTAAATCATATGTCTCAGAAGAATAGTGTTCATATTTAGTATATTTTTCCAGTTCGAGTCAAACTATATTTGAAGGCCACATGTACCTAAAGTTTGTATTTGTACTGTAATGATTATCTACCGAAACTAAAATGTTGGATAAAAGTGATGAAAACAGCTGCACCTTGCACTGTAAAATCTTCATATAGTCACTATGTGCCAAAGAACGAGTAACTGGAAAAAATAGTGTCTATTCTAAATCTACTGTATAAAATTAGACAATATTTAAAGTCGAATACAATAATTGTAAACAATAATGGTTTAATGTAATTCAAAATATCTAATGGTATATATTTGTCTATTTTGTTGTCTATAGACTACAAACAAATGCATTTTTTGCTGTCGGCAGCGTAACTATGACGGTTTGAAAAAATGTAATTTCTTGAGTATTCTAATTAGGATAAGTCTGGAAATTTTTTTGTAAGACCAACCGGTCTTATTTTTGTAGTTTTGACACGGTTGGCCATATATTGAGATTGTATCAATTTATTATTCAATAAAGATTAAACAAAGACCTCTCGTCGTGTCTGGTATATTTTTACTTTATTCAAGATCCACGAAAGGCGAGTGCTATCCAGAATAACCGATTCAGTACCAGGAGCATAGAATAGCGAGGTGTTCTTCAGCTATCGTTTTATGTGCTCTTGCTACCACTTAGATGACGATCTAAGCGTAGCAAGTAAAATTATGGACGTTGCAGATTTGTTGTCCGGAACATACGAACACAAGGACGTATGAAAAAGGTAACCTTAACCAGATATAAAAATGGAGGGAAATTCAAATTTTTCATAAACATAATGAGTTTACCTTCCTGGTCGTCTGTCCAACTTTGATAATACTGCTACTAGGATCATCGGAACACGAGAACTCCGAGCATGAAATTAGCGAGACCCGTACAAATATTTCTCGTCGCGTATGTGCTTCTGGTATATTTTTACTTGACTCAAGATCCACGTAAGGCGAGTGGTATGCAGAATAACCGATTCAGTACCAGGAACATAGAATAACGAGGAGGTGTGGAAAAGATCACATGCGCCTGGTATTAATTTGACGGGATATTAAAATTCTTCAGCTATCGTTTTATGTGCTCTTGCTACCACTTAGATGACGATCTAAGTGTAGCAAGTGAAATTATGGACGTTGCAGATTTGTTGTCCGGAACATAGGAACACAAGGACGGATTAAAAAGGTAACCTTAACCAGATATAAAAATGGAGGGAAATTCAAATTTTTCATAAAAATAATGAGTTTACCTTCCTGGTCGTCAGTCCAACTTTGATAATATTGCTATTATCATCATCGGAACACGAGAACTCCGAGCATGAAATTAGCGGGACCCGTACAAATACTTATCGTCGCGTATGTGCTTCTGGTATATTTTTACTTGACTCAAGATCCACGTAAGGCGAGTGGTATCCAGAATAACCGATTCAGTGCCAGGAACATAGAATAGCGAGGAGGTGTGGAAAAGATCACATGCGCCTGGTATTAATTTTACGGGATATTAAAATTCTTCAGCTATCGTTTTATGGGCACTTGCTACCACTTAGATGACGATCTAAGTGTAGCAAGTAAATTTATGGACGTTGCAGATTTGTTGTCCGGAACATAGGAACACAAGGACGTATGAAGAAGGTAACCTTAACCAGATATAAAAATGGAGGGAAATTCAAATTTTTCATAAAAATAATGAGTTTACCTTCCTGGTCGTCTGTCCAACTTTGATAATACTGCTACTAGGATCATCGGAACACGAGAACTCCGAGCATGAAATTAGCGAGACCCGTACAAATACTTCTCGTCGCGTATGTGCTTCTGGTATATTTTTACTTGACTCAAGATCCACATAAGGCGAGTGTTATCCAGAATAACCGATTCAGTACCAGGAGCATAGAATAGCAAGGTGTGGGAAATGTCACATGCGCCTGGTATTAAATTGATGGGATATTAAAATTATTCAGCTATCGTTTTATGTATCACTGATACAGAATTTTTACTTGCCTGAATATCTACATGAGATGCGGATCTTCCATATGTCTCAAGTTCGACGTTGCACAACACAGAAACACGAGAAGGCATGGAAATGCTTTTGATATCATCCGGATATGGAATTTTAACTTGCTGAATATCCACAAAAGACGTGGTTACCATCCATAATAATTGTCAAAAATCAGCCGATATGCTATCAGGAAATGTGAGATGTGTAGAAGGTAAACTGCTCCTGTACTCCTAACACAAAGGTTCACTTGGATCAAGATCCACAGGAGACGCTACTTCATCGGCATTATCAAAGTCCTTTGTCGCACATTTGTTATCAGTATCATAGGAATGTAAGAATCGAAAGGTAAGCTGCTCTTGCTTTGAAATGGGCGAGAAATTGAGATTATTCATACACCTCTCGCAATTCCGGTGACACCGTCCAGAACCAATGTTAGACTGATGTTATGGAAAGTTTGACTGGCTCCTGGTGTCGTGTTAACGTGAAATACAAACGTTTGATGCAAACATTCGTTATTTACTTGCTTGTAGTACAAAACACCTAGTTGCCTAAGTATGCATATTTGACCAGACTACTTTGCAAAATACTCCCCATCAAAGTATTTGCTAAATAAACCTGCGAATTTAATTTCACCAAACCATAGAATGTCAGATATAGCTCTAAGGTTCTTTGAGTCATACTTGCTAAATCGTCAACAAACAGTGAAAACTGATCAGGGAATTTCCTCCTCTGAGCCAGTTCGTTCAGGAGTTCCTCAGGGCTCAGTATTAGGTCCCTTACTATATCTGATTTATACGATCGATCTGCAAGACTGTTTAGTCCACTGTAGTATGCAAAGTTATGCAGATGATACTCAGTTAGTGTTTGGTTTCGATCCATCAAAGGTTGATGAAGTTTCTTTTAAAGTTAATTTAGATTTGGCTAACATCGGTGATTACTGTAACAAACACTGCTTGAAGATCAATCCTAATAAAACTACTGCAATGTTGTACTGTTCGAAGAACTCCTACCGTGAAATGAAGCAGAGGATTTGTGTTTTTTTGGATGAGGCACTCATCCCTTTTGTGGATTACGCCAAGAATCTCGGTGTTACCCTTGACTTAAATATGAGATTCGATCGGCATGTCTCTTTCTTATCTAGAGTAACGTATTTGCGTTTGAAACTCCTCTATTCTAATCGATACATCTTGAATTTTAAAACCCGAAAAAAGCTTGCTGAAAGTCTTGTGTTGTCTGTCCTTTCTTACTCTCTTGTTCTGTATTACCTATGTTTAGACTACGTCCACAAAAGGATACTCCAGAAAATTCAGAACAGCTGTTGTAGGTTTATTTTTGGATTGCGCAAGTTTAGTCGCGTCTCAGATAAAATCAAAGAACTCAACTGGTTGCGAATTGATAAGTTATTTTTATATCTTTTGACCGTCTTCACGCATAAAGTTCTATTATCTAACAGACCAGCTTACCTCGCTAGCAAATTAGTTCACCGAGGTAGTTTTGTTACCAGAGCTCTTAGATTTAATGCTAATTTTAACATGTCCCCTCACAATACCTCGGTCTTTGAAAGAAGTTACACCTATAATGCTGTCAAGCATTACAATGCAGTCAACAGTCGCTATCGATCCAAACAGGTTGTTTCTTTTAAGAAATTAATGAAAAGTCAGCTGCTGGAGTCCATTTAGTTCAGTTTTTCTTGTGCTCATGTGATTTTTTTTTGTTTGACTATTTTCTACTATTTTTGTTTCAAATTTAGAACTCTCGCAATGCTATCTGCATTTATCTCGTGCAATCATTGTTGTCATTCTTATGAATTGTTTTTTTTTGTATGTTATTATTTTGTTTATGTATGTAAGTATTCTTTTTTTTTTTGTTGTGGGGTTGAGTGTAAGAGTAGCCGTCTGGCTAAACTTCGCCTCACTGCAGTTAATAAAGGCATTATTATTATTATTATTATATTCTTCAATCCACCCGATGACATCATTTACTTCCGCTCGAGATGTTAGCAACCTGTTCCAAGAAATTCAAATTTTTCATACGAATCTCTCGCCGTTTCTGCGCTCTTGATATCATTTTTTGTTTGTTGAATGTCCATCCATACAAATTAAGTTTGACGTTATTTATTATCAGGAAAAATAACGTAAGGAGGTAACGAAAATGTAACATTGTAATCTATGAGAAGTCAACTCCAGAGAACGTATGAAGAATAAAACACAAATTGATAACACTAATTTTTATTAGGGTTGCTGATTTAAGTGTACAGAACCATACATGTACTGGATGGGTGCATTTAGTTTTCATCAAGGATTTGAGATAAGGTCCATCACCAAGTTGACCATTGCAACTACTAGGTTGTGTTGTTGATACGTTTAATTCGTCTGTTAGCTTTTTTTGAAGGGGAAAAGTTAGTTGAGGATTCTCTGTATTTATTTTTATTTTATGTTACACCTTTTTCAAAAAATTTTCAACTTGCCCTATAGCCGGTCGTAAATAAAATTTTGTATCTCGTGTATAATAAGTGTTTAGGTCCGTTGCTTCGCACCTTGGGCTCCAATTTCACGCTTCGGGTTATAAACGCTCACTTCACGCCCTAAACATGTGCATAACTATTATCAAAATCACCTTTTCAACAGAACATCACTGTGACTTTACGCCTCAACCGTTGATGCAACTAAGCACACCCAAAGAAAGTAAAGCAAGAAAGCGAGAATTTAAAGAAAAAAGAAACACTAATTTTTGAGTAACTAGCACCCGAAAATAAAACTATTAATACCCTCGTGCATTTGCCAATAATATAAAGAGGTAAAATAATAAAAAAGAACTTAAGCTATTTAATTTAATATACAGAGTACATACAGTGACAAGTAATCGATTTCCAGGCTGTTGGCATTCATGGCAAAGCACACTACATACTTTGATAGCAAATCTAATGAATTTTCCTAATGTCCCGCAACACTGTCTGATAAATCCGTCGCAATATCTGCATCACAGGACGGTACGTAAGAGGGGGACGCTGTACGCTACATGATAGTGTCCGAGAAAAATATGCTTCGTACATCGACACATCATTCATTTCCACTCAAATACTCAAGTGTGTCAGCATAGAACTTTCAAGCTGTCAAAATAATGAGAGAAATACAATCATCATTAATATTCAAAAATCCATAAAAGGGTTTAATAGCAATGACAATTTTGTGCCCAACAAGCCAAAGGAGCTCATGAATGCACACATTCATAATTTAAGTATGGCTGTTATTCATTATCATTATTTATCTAGGAGAATAAATTAATATAGATGTATAGGAATACAATTTCTCAGGTTAGTAGTGAAAAAAGTATTTTTGGTATATTATCGATATATGCGAGTGATATATTTCAGCAATGATTAACGTATTATATCCGGAGATAGTCAACCTAACACTATATTTGATACCATACTAAGAAAATGTCTCACAGCTATTTTTCTCCTCTCTACAATAATTGGAAGTCCATTTTGAAAACGTCTCGTAGATGGCGCTGTAGTTACCCAGATATAGTTGG